ATCTCACATTATACCTTCTTCCTGTTAATTGCCCACCGGTTTGAGTAGATTATTTTCGCGTGTAGTTTAGTTAGTATTTTTGTCAATTTTGACTTATATGTAATTTTCTACTTATAATCGCGTCCATGTTAGGTTTCTAACTGGAACCCATTAATAAAAATAAAAATAAAAATATATGGAAAATGGAGATTTACGAAAATATCTTAAACGAACTGCTAATATAATTACATGGGATCAAAGATTAAATAAGATATATGATATTTGTCTTGCACTTAATAATATTCATGTTCACGGGTTAATTCATAAAGACCTTCATCCAGGAAATATTTTTATTGATTCTACATTTGCATATATTGGAGATTTTGGATTTTGCATGCCAGCAAACGAAGATTTATCAAATTCTACAAATAAGAATATTTATGGAGTAATGCCATATATGGCACCTGAAATATTACGTGGAAAACCACATACATTAGCATCTGATGTATATTCATTAGGTGTGATTATAAATGAAATAATTACAGTAATTCCTCCATTCAATAATCAACCACATGATTATTATCTCGCACTGGATATTTGTCGAGGTTTACGTCCAAATATTAGAGAAGAAACTCCAACTTCTTTAGAAAAATTAATTAAAACATGTTGGGATGCAAATCCAGAAAACCGACCAACTTCCGGAGAAATATTTCACACATTATCGTATCATTTTAATGCATATAAAAGTACGCCACCGAAAGAATTATTATATGATTTTAACGAATCAATCAACATTACCAATTTATTATTAAAAGTACAATTAGAAACACATTCCCAAGCTATTTATACAAGTCGACTTCTCAATTTTCAAAATTTACCAGAGCCTGTAAACTACCCGAATCAACAAGAATTTATTTCTTCGAGGTATATTAAGAAAATACAAACAGGTAAATTTTGTAATACTGTATATATTCCTTTTATCTATTTAAATTTAATAAATTTAAATAAAATTTATATATTGTAGGGCAAGTTTGTAACACCCTTCATTCTGATGAATGTTCAGATTGTATTATTATGGACATTGGTTGAGCTCGTTCGGTTTATTGTGTTTATTATTTCAGAGAGTCATAGTAATATCTAATATTCTTAAATATTCAATTATTGAACTTTATATAATATAAAATTATTTTATTATTCTTATAAATTGAAATATAATAAAGTATCATTTTTATTATGTTAAATGACTTCTGGCTCTGATTTTTCATAAATGATACATGTGCAGCTTCTATACGGCTAGTGACAACTGACCAACATAAAAATCCTAAAAAAAATTAATTAGTATTTAAAAAATTCTAACCGGTTACCTCTATACTCGAGCCATTAACTTATAATTATAAAAAATTTTTTTTTTTTTTGTTACTTTTCTAATTCTAACCGATAAACTTTTAAAGTTTAATATCTAACCTTTAAAAATTATCGGCTAGTTTTCCTTTAAAGGATTTTTGATAGATTTTTTTTATTACACCGTTAGAAATTGGGACTATATGAATTTTGTGCAACAAAAATTTATTTAATTTAAAATTAATAATACACGCATTAGAAGTCTTTTTGTGTAAAAAAATAACATAAATAAATAAAAATCGCTTAAAATTTTATAAAATGTAATCACACGATCTAAATCTAAAATATGATTGGTTCATGAGGCATGATAAATCACGTGTTGCTTATGTAGTATTTTAAACTTTATCATTAGATCGAAAATTATTATTGTATATGGTAAAAAATTGAGAAAAGTGCAAATTAGTATGTTAACTAAAAATGCGTAAAAATTGGATTAAATAAATAAAATCGTAATTCGGACACAGGTAAATTTCCAGTAATAATGAATTTATAAATACTTCGCAATTTGACTGGAATGTTCTGATGTTAAGTAAGTATAAAATAAAAAAGGAGTGGATCAGATGATTATAATCAATTATATAACATTATAGTGTATTATAGAGAGTATTTTTTTTTTTAGGGAAAGTAGAGATAATATTTTTAGGATAAATCTAATTGTAACAACTTCTTATTTGTAACAACCCCAATTTTATCCAATTAAAATTTAAGATCAGGCGTAATGTAAACAAAAACAAAATATCAGTCGTGTAACTAAGACAAAAGAATTTTTTTAAAAAATTTCAAGAAACTGCTTATAACTTCTTAAGTACATTAAGTAAAAGTTTCCAAATTAAATTTTGCATATAAAAATCTTATTTGTAAAGCGCATACTAAATAAATTTATTATTAAAAAAAATAAAAAAAGGATGTTATAAATAAAATATGTAACAAGTTGTTACAAGTACATTTATTCATATTTTTATTTTAGAGGATTTTTTTTTATAAAAATTATTAGAGGAAGAGTTTGTTTTTTTTTAGAGAAAGTTGGGAGAATGTATATATTTGTAAAAACCTATCCGAACAATTATAAATAGACTCTTTAATTGGGACGATATACTGTAGGTGCCTTGGAAAAATTAATTTATCAATAAAAAAATTAGTACGACTCTGTCGTTAATTTTAATTGTCGCTCATGTGATTCAACTTTAGTCGCTAGTCGCGACCTTTAGATAATACATGAAATTACAGTGTAAATTTTTTCAATAAAAATGATTTATTATAATATAATATTTTATTAAAAAAAAAAATCCTATTATACTTGAAAACATTCTATTGTATAAATTAGCGACAAATACCAAATCAGGTAATATATCAAACTTAAATTAAAGAATCAAAATAAGGCAATATGTATATGTTATAAAGGGATTATATTTATTTAGACAATTTCTTGGATTTATCGAATAACTTTATTTTTTTTTATTACAACAATAGGTCATATCTTCTGTTTATATCAATTTTCAATAACCGTGAACCAGTGTTGATTCATTCAAATTTAAAACATTTGCTAAATAAAAAAAAATGGGTTTAACAACACAATTTCTAAAAATAACGGTGATTATTGACGGTGATAAAATCATTAAGGGAATATTATAATAAAGATTCTCTTTGAATAAAACTAAAACATTCATTCGGATGTGCGATCAAAAATTCGTTCGATCTTAAGAAAAGGAAGATAATATAATAAATCATTTCTGATTTTGTTTTAATTTGAAGTTTTTAGTATTTATTCGTTACTAATAATATAAAATTTCTACAACTTGAATATTATTAATAAAAAAAGTATAATCTCCACGAACTTGTGGTCTGTCATAGGTTAAATTGGTTGGACCGAAGTTGTAAATTATTTGAATATTAAAAATTTTCGATTTATTTTGTAGATTATTCTTAAATTTAATAAATTTGGCATTAATTAATTAAATTAATAAAATTTAATTATTTAATCTACTACTAACTACATCAGATATCAGATATTTACGGTATACATAAATGAAAAATTAAATATTAAGTATTATTATATAAATATAAAAATAGCATGAATTCATTAAAAAAAATTATCATTATATTAATTGGAGAAAAAAAAAATATTTTTCCATGACCACAAAATAGCGTCAGGTTAAGAACCAACAATGGCAATTGCACAAGAGAATGGGGCACGAACACCAGGTGTGACCAAAAAATGATACACCCTAATAAAATATTTAGAAGGTAGTTTTGCCGGTAAAGTAAATTTATGCGTTGTGGAAAATGTTGTTCCAGTGTTAACTGGACAATCAGTTTGTGAACAAAGATCCATATAATAAGACGCCAATAATTTCGGATTAACTTGATCAACAACATCAAATTAATAATGGTTGCTGGTGTGATAGTATAATTCAATTTTACGGAAACCTCGAACTCTTGTTCTCCAGGTTTGATAGGATCAGGTGTTAACTTTACAGTGAGTAATTCTGCATCTGGGAATTCTACACATTCTTTAAACTGGGTTATTGCATTGACTATGGAAAAAAGAGTAACCAATGAAATTAATACAAAAATAAAATTTCGGTTCATGATTGTCTGTTCTTTAAAATTGGCAAATAAAAAGAAATTTGTTTTTTCTTTATAAAATTTTTGATTGATTCGAAGTAATTAAAATGTCAACTTTCACAACTTTCTGTAGCTTTATGTTCTTTTAAAGATATTTTTCTTGCAAATCAATAATTTATTAATCTCATATTAATAGATAAAAAAAAGTCTTTTTACTGGTTAATTAAGAATTAAAATTTCATTTGACTCTAGTAAAATGCAATGCAGATCAAAGAAATTTCTTCCTCAATTAAATAATCATAATACTTAAACGGTAATATTAAACAACTCAAAAGGAAATGTTCTTAATATGAAACTTGATCTTAGTAGGGGGCCATAGTACCTGGGGTATGATACACATTTAGGAGGTTGGAGTCTATATCCAGGGTATATTACATGGAGGAATACGGCATGGGTACTGTGCTTTAGGGGGTACAGGAATTTATATTGCGTAATTTATTTTACAATACTGTTCCTAGTATTATTCCCTGGATATTTTACAAATTTTGAAGGTTAAAAATCGAATATCTCCGTGCAAAATATCCGGATACTTTAAAAAACCAAAAAAAAATTTCATGTGGGTACTGTGCAGGTACTGTCAGGGGGTTATCACATGGAGGAAAGGATACAAAGGATACGCACAATAACCCGAAATTCATTTATTTAAAAAAACTCCATTGTAAAGTAAGAGTTAATTTTCATGTTATCGATCCTATTAGAGATTTTCATGTCGAAATTGATGATCATATGCATTAAATAAAAATGAAAATCACTTTATTTTTCTCTTTTTTAAAAGAGAATTTATCTAGGAAAAATTAATATCATAATTCTTAATATTCATTTTACAATTTATAGTTTATATGATGATTAATTTATTTTGAAAAAAAAAAAAGATGCGAACATCAAAAATCTTAGTTGAAAAATAAATTTATCATTTTTTTCATAAGGACCTTTCACAACATATCAAAATTGAAACATAAATTGTACTATTCTGCTATAATAAAAACTTCTAGCTCCCCCAATAAATTTATTTCTATCTATTTCTTGTTCTATTTCGTTATATTTATAAATATATATGTTCATATGACCGAAAACGTGCATGACACTAATTAAAGCTAACTTAAAGAGAGAGAGAAGTGCACAAATTTGTAATAAAAACGATCTCCAAGAAGTAAATCCTCATAAATATCCACATTCTTTGTGCAACTCTGGTTGCAAGAATATTTCAAATATCTTTCTGTGCATTTCAGATGATCTTACATGATTTTGATGATCACGTTCCGTTGAGTTGTGATTTGTGACCGTTAATTTAAAAATTATTGACACATAAAATATGAGAAAAAATTAAATATCCCTTTGAAGGCAATGAATTACATTTACTATAAGGAAAGTTAATTGATTACAAGAGATCGAAACTTTTGGATGCTTGATTAACGAATTCCTTATCCTTTCTGGGACGGTTTTTGATCATACCATCATACTTCAAGAAGGAAGATTCTATTATCCAGACAAATGCATCTTTCTTTGCTAATCATGATTAACAATGTCCTCGACGTCTTTATACCAGCTGATACTACGAAACCAATGCTTAGCCCCTTGCACCTCCAACGCAATTTGATATTTTTGAAAGAAAGCATAATAATCAAGCTCATGAGTGAGAGAGAGACGTTACTCAATCATACAGCTCCTCATTAAGAATTTTCTTAGCTATCTGAATGCATCTAATCTGGAATTTGTGATTTTTTTTTAGATTTTGTTTCTCTTTTAAGTTCATTGATATCATGCCTTAATTTTGCTAGGTTCAACGTTCAAAACTCTGGTCTGAAGCTCTAATTTCTCGATTCTACTCCTAAGCTTGACAGTCTCAACATGCTTTAAAAACTCGGATGACATGTTTGATTAAAAATTTTACATAAATATACTGTAAACTATTCAATATTATGTAACAAATGTTAAGGTTAAGACCTTTTTTATTTATCTATATAATAAAAAAATACATGTCGATCTTCTAACGTTTAGATTAAGTCTGTATAAATAATCTTTGAATTGTGTAGCATGATTCAGTGCCTGATTTAAACTTAAAAGTTAAGGCCATTTATTTGATCGGCAAACGTATAGATTTTTTTAACTTAGCTAATTTTTGATCGGTTAAACTTAAAATTTTATTGCGAAGATATTTTTAAAAAAATTTTTTTTGCAAACATTTATTCAAAATAATCTTATTAAATGAAATTTTTTAAAATTTAAGTCCCACATTTTCGATTTTAAAGAAAAAAATCACTGTATTTATTTTTAATGAAGTGATACAAATAAAAAAAAACAATAACAATAAATAAAAAAGATAAGTAAATGACAATGATCAAGGAGAAAGATGCTAATAAAAAAAAATGAAATAACAATGGAGTAATGGAAAGTAATAGAATAAGAAAGGGAGTAAAAAAGAGTAATGAGAAGTGATAGGAAACAAAAAGGAAAAATAGGACATGATGGATGATGAAAAAGAGTGATGGGAGACGAAAAGAAGTAATAGGAAGATGAAGAGGAGTGATGGGAGACGAAAAGGAATGATGGGAAGATGAAGAGGAGTGATGGGAGACGAAAAGGAGTGATGGGAAGATGAAGAGGAGTGATGGGAGACGAAAAGGAGTGATTAGAGACGAAGAGGAGTGATGGGAAACGAAAAGAAGTGATTAGAGACGAAGAGGAGTGATGGGAGACTAAAAGGAGAGATTGTAGACGAAGAGAAGTGAAAAGGAGTGATGGGTGACGAAGAGGAGTAATGGAAGATAAAAAGGAGTGATGGGAGACAAAAAGAAGTGATGGGAATGAAAAGAAGTGACGAGAGACAAAAGAAATGATGGGAAGTAAATAGGAGAGAAAATGTAATAATAGAAAATGAAAAGATGTAATGGAAAATAATAGAAGACGAATAATGAGAGGTGAAAAATGATGAGAGACAAAAAAATAAAAAAATGATCATGAGGAAACCAAGTAAAAAATAAACCATAAAGTAAAAAAAGAAAGAAGTTAGTAAGAAATGAAATATAAGATAAAAACAAAATAAATAAAACAAATAAATAAGTATAAGACTAGTTTTAACCCGGGGTGATTTAACCTGGTAATTTTCCGGGTGATTTAACCAGGGTGATTTAACCCAGTGATTTATTATATAATAAAATTATATCATTATGATGTTATGTTTATATTACACGAAATATTTTTCACACACCCAAATACAATTTTCATTTCGCGTTCACGTATTGAGTTCACTTTGGTACTTTGCAAATACATAGTTTTCATGTTTGCACCTTAACTTTGCCTTTAAATATAACCATTACATAATAATCACTATTATTCCTTACGTTCTTATACCACTAATACACCTTTTTGCGTCTAAATAAATTGTTTATACAATGGAACTATTTTATTGTGATTTTTTACAGAACTCTTCTTTTAGCTCACATGATATTGAATGGTTGTTTTCCTTAGAAACGTATAATAATAATGAAGGTTATGAGTTAGATAAAATTCTGCCAGAAAAACCATATTATGAAAAAGGATCAGATGATGAAGGATCAGATGATATGGAAGGAGTAGAGGATATAAATGTAAATGTATTAGATGATATGGAAGATGAGGATTTATATAATAATGATGGAGATCAATTAGAATTGGGGCAAGGAATGATATTTGATACATGGAAAATTGCCGAAAATTACCTTGAAAATTTTGCAAAACAAAAAGGATTTTCCTTTCGTAAAAGAAGATGTGTAACGGATCCTATTGATAAAACTATAGTAAGAAAAAGAACTTTTGAGTGTTCTCATGCATGTGTACATAAATCAGACAAGGCTATCTTAGAGAAAGATAGACGAGATAGAGGTTCAGAAATGATCGGATGTCCTTGGCACATCAATATGGCTTTTCCTAAAACAGCAAAAGGTGTTCGAATTAATAGCATTGTTAGTGAGCATAATCACTTGTTAAATCCTCTCATCATAGAAACAGCACCAAAATTTTGAAGACTTACTGATGAGATGCTTGAGAAAATTAAATTCTGGACAATTCAAGGAAAAATGGGAATACCAAACCAATATAATTTACTTGTAGCATCCTTTCCTGATAAGACAATTAATAGAAAAGATTTAAGCAATGCTATACAAAAGTTTAAAAAACAAATGAAGTCAAGTAGAAATGATGCTTGTCAAATGCTTACCGAGTTATATTCAAAAAAGAAGATAATCCGATGTGGATAGTAAAACTACGGTTTGATTCTGAAGAAAGATGACTCAATTCTTTATTTTGGATGGCTCCCAATCAAATTATTGCCTATGAAAAATACCATGATGTTGTAATAGTTGATACAACATCAAGAACCAATCAATTTGATATGATATTAATGTTATTCACGGTTGTTGATAATAACTTTAGAAATCTTATAGTAGTAGCTGCCCTTTTGGAAGATGAAACTGAAGTAACATTTACCTGGGGTTTGCAGGAATTAAAAAACTCTTGCGAAGTTATACCAACAGTACTATATTCTAATGCTGATCCAGCTTTAATATCTGCTGTTAAAAATAATTACCAAGATACTTGTCATCTTCACTGTATATTTCATATTGATTTAAATTTGAGAAAAAAACTCAAAGGAAAATTGCGAGATCAATTTAAAGATTTTTGTACCAAATTTTTAAAGATGTGTAACTCCTTATATCATAATCAGTTTGAGAATGGATGGAACACCTTAATTAATGAATATCCCAAATGTCAGCAGTATCTTACATGAGTTTTGTATCCTTGCAAAACTAGTTGAGCCAGTTATGCTATTAATCAAAATTTTACTGCAGGTATTCAAATCTCTCAACGTGCTGAAGTTTCTAATAAGCTAATTAAAGAAAAACTTGATTGGACATCGTTATTATGTGATGTTGTTGAAGAAGTTCATGCTATATTTGATAAACAATCAAAAAAAGCAATGTTAACTGAATGTATAAATGAAATTCCAACTAGAAATTTGCCAAGTGTAATGGATGAATATTTTCCAGAATTAAATATAGTATTGAAAGAGTATCTTACACCACAGATACTTCAAAAACAATGTGATCAAATGGCACAATCACTCTATTATGATGCTATATTGATTGATGATTGGTTATCTTTATTAGAGGTAAGAAATTTAATTTTAATATACAGTGTAGTTACTTGCTTTTTTTGCAAAGGCATATAATGAACACGTACTTCTGTAAAAAATTGATGGTCATATGTCATGTAGATTTGATGAGATTGATAATCAAAATTATTTAAATAAGATATGCATTTGAAGTTCCACAAAAAAAATTTCGAACTTACATTTTTTGTTATTTTAGTTACCAGATGATTCTTATTGAATAAATATTGCCAGAGAAGATGACTATGACCAACTACAGTCTTTACTTTCTTCATTACTTAATAATATATCACTACATAATGTTAAAAAAGTATGGAAAGTAAGTAGACATTGTGGTCAACAATCAGCACCTCAATATATGATTATACTTGATGACGGATCATATTTATGCACATGTCTTTGGCTTATTAATTGTGGAATTGCATGCAGACATTTTTTTCGAGTAATGTCTTATTCATCTAATGCTCAATTTCATATTATGCTTATTTCACAATGTTGGTATAATGACTAAATGAACCAACAAGAACATTATTTAGTGCCAGTTTATCAAATTAAAAAAATGAAACAGACTTTTTTTTGTCACAATCATCATTTCAACATCTTGAAAGAGTTAGGCAAACACCCAATATTAAACAATTACAAGGCCTTAAGCAGAAATTTGGGTTCAGTATAGGTTATGCCAAAAAGGCACTTGATTATGCTATATGGACAGATAAACTTAATGAACTTGTCAGTCAACTTAAGAATTTTATTGAAGCAGCAAAAGAAGAACTATCTAATAATCAAGAGAATATTGATAGTATTGTTGGAGACCCAATACAAGTTAAGCATAAAGGGCGACAACCTAATAGGTACAAATCAGGAGAAATAAATTAGTGAAAACCAAAATATGAAACAGAAATAAAATAAAAAAAATAAAAAAAAAATGAGTAAGAAACGAAACCTTACTGGAAGAACTAAAAGACCTAAAAATGATGAAATAGAGTTAAATATGTAAATTATATAAATTTATTAGATTATTTTCTTCTAACCTTATCTGTTATCATCATACTGTAAATATTATTATTAAAATACATATGGGCCGATCCTTGGAATCTAATTTTTTACACAAAAATAATTTTATTAAAGCAAATATAAATTATTATTTATATAAGAATAATAAATTTATACCAGATAATGCAAAAAAAACTAATTAATTATATAATTTTTAATTTTTTTTTAATATAAGATATCATTAAAATTTAAAAGATCAAATATAACTCTCATGACAAAATCATTGATAATTCTTCGTAGAAATAAGCTATACAAATATATTTACATTCATTTGAAAGAGAAAATCGAGATCTATCTAATGAATCTAAAATCAAGTGAATTGAATCACTAGTTGTTCAGTATTCACGTTCAGTATATTATTGAATTTTATCTAAATTTGATTATTAATTACTTCACATATAGTGATTCAATTTGAATGATCTTTGCTCCCTAAGGTGATGCTAACTTTTATCTTTAAAATAAATTTAAAATAATTCGTTTAATATATGTAGATGTTTAGGAATCATCAATTATATTATTAATATAAAATTTTATAAGTTTGATAAAATCTGATATAAAAAAATTTATTAAATACCTGTAGATGCAAGCTACACGAATGAAATTATATTCATTTGAAAGAGAAAGTTGAGGTCTATCTAATAAGCCTAAAATCGAATGAATTGAATCACTGGATTGTGAATAATTACGTCTAATATATTTATTTTTAATTTTTAAATTTGATTTGACTTTGATCGTTAATTACGCCTCATCCAGTGATCCAATTTTCCTGATCTTTGATTCTTACGATAGAGCAAATTCTCAGCTTTCAAATGAATGTAAAATGATGACGTTAGCATATCTCCAGGAATAATAATGCACGATTTTGTCACCTGCATAAAGTCCGATCTGAAAATTTTATTTCTTACCAAAAAATGCTTTCATAAGAGAATCCCAAATTCTTTTACTTTATTTAAAAGATTTTATTTGCCATTTAAGGATTTTAGTAGAATAAATCTAATAAAATAATTTTAAAGATAAAAAACAAATATATAATTAGTTATTTTGAAAAAAAAAGAATATCTTATTATTCATTTTACAACTATTTTACATCATAATTATTTTTTATTTGCATGTATTTTTTACAAAGAAAAAACAATAAATTAAAGCTAAAAATTATGAAAAAATATGTCTTATCTATGTATATAAAATATTAAGTTTTTTCTTTTACTTACCACTTAAAAATAACTGCTATATTTGCTTATAAACTTTTTTGTCATATTTAATAAAAGTGAATAGAAAAATGATGGAAAAGTGATGGGAGTGATGGGGAAAAAAAAGTGGTTATTACCGTTATTTTTGAATATTGATTAAAAAAATTTTTATTAAATCTGAGTTACGTAAATATGTAACACATATTTAATTTAGATTTGTGTAATGTTAATCTTACTAAAATATTAAATTTTTATAAAAATCTTAATTTAGACTAATTCCAAAAATTGGCACATATGACTAAACCTATTCTAAAATATATCATATATCATTGTTACTTTTCTTGACTTGATGGGCAAGTTTTATCCCTGGCGCAGCACGGCAGGTTTTTTCTAATATAGAGATAAAAAAATTAAATTACAAGAATTGGGACTTATTATTTATGATTATTCTTTTTTATATCCTTGTCTTAACATCCTCAATAATTCAAAAATAACCTCCATCACTTCACATTTTTTACGCAACTCCTTTTTGTTCTCTGAACCTTCTTTCAAATCAGATCAACAAATCAGATATTTAATGGATTTCTATTCATGCAAAAAATTATGTCTGAGAAATACCATTCCATAATTGTAATTATGATCCCAAAAAGATATTCATATTCTTTACTGAAAGCATCATCTGCATTTCATTTTTTTCTTATTATTATATAAATTTTGTAGATGAAAATCAGTTAGTGGAATGTGATTTAAACTTAAACAACAACACTAAAGTAAAATATTTTGAGCAAATTTGATGGTAATAAATTAATGTTGTTTTTTCTCCGTGATGTAAATTAAGCTTTGATTGCGTAATTCACACAACTCAAATTTTTCTTACCAACAACTTTGAATTGTGGATTTTTTTCTTGTAAGATTTCTGATAATACGAATTCATTACCAAATATATTAAATATATTTTCACAATGAATCGCCTTGTCAACATCCTCATATTTTATAACCTAGATCATATGATATCCTTAAACAGTGTAGCAAAGTTTCATCTTTATCACCGATACTGTAATTTTCTTTTCAAAGCAATAATAATACTATCACACATTAGTTATACATAAATCAAGTTAATAAATAGTAAAAATAAACTTGCTTTGTGCAAATTGTAATATGTCTGCTATTTGATCATCATCTATCTCATACTTGTACTACATCTCATTCAAGTCTTTTTTAGTCTTGTAAAAAGAGAATGATCTTGGCCTTTTTTCCTTAATATTCTTAGTGAATTTTACTAGCCTTTTTGCCAGTCCTAATTTCAATTTCTTTTCCATGGTCAAGCTAATAAAGTCCAGTTCATTAACCTCTTATTTTCTAAGATTTTTATAGCACTCATTAAGTCCTAAGTTTTTTTGTTTCTGCAAAAATTTTATAGGCTTGATTGGGCAAACTGTGTCATATTTTTAATTTTCCCGCTAACATGACTCTCATTTCCAGTTATAGTAGAGGGTATACATGTAGCCAAAACCTTCATAAAGCTGGACAAGGTTTCAGCCTTTCAGTAATTTAATTATAATAAATTATTAAAAACTATCCAGAAATCCATCTGAAACTTCAAAGACTTATATTATAGTTTTGGCTGAATGTAGAGATTAATTTTTATCATTTTTTAACTTAATTTTGATTTAAAGATGTGGCCAAAAATCACGTGAAAAGGTTTTGGCTACAAGTATAGTAGAAGATAAACAGGTGTAATAGTTTTATTTGGCTCAGATAAAAAATGCTTTACGTTTTAGAATATTGATGTAAAAATTTATTTGCAAGAAAAATACACGATCAAATGATCAATGATCAGTTGATCACTACTCTGGATCGAGTTAGTATCTGATCTAATATTCAATCTTTAAAGACGGTTATAAAATCAGTTTCTGTTTCTTTTTCTGCCTAAACAAACATTTCTACTAGTTCATCTAAAGTAAGTTCTATACTTTGAACGTTCATTTCTGATTGTTATGTTTTTGATCAAAAATCTGGTAACCAATCCTAAAATATGACCAATTCAGTACTAATCGTGATAAATTTCAACTTTAACCAATCAGTCCATTTGTTTTTGTCACGTTTGTTATTTTTAAAAAAGTGATAAAAAAAAACTACTTTTTTTTTATAAAAATCAGAATACTGATCGAGTTATACAATTTTTTTAACCAATAGGTCTGATTATTCAGATTTTTTGATCAAAAATCTATTAACCAATCCTATTATGTGATTAAAATCAAAATTGAGTACTTTAATTGGTTTATTGAATGGTTAAACCTTGGTTACCTTATTTTTTGTATAATAAAATATTTTTCTTTTTTAAAAATGACAAATAAGTTATATCATAAAAGTATATTAAACTTTTTGAGGGTACATATTAAAACTTCATTAGACACCAGACATGTTAAAAAAGTGATCAAAATGATATCACAATTTTGTTTTTCAGAAAGTTCAGATCATTGATCAGGTCACGCAATTCTATCAGCCAATAATTATTAATTCAAAATCTGATCAAAATCCCAAATGATCAGAATTGAATAGGCCTAATATTATTCAACTAAAACCCGATCAAAAATCTGAACAATTAGAAATAAACTGGTCATGAATTATTAATAAAATTCATTTGATATGGTCGTTACCAAATCTATACTAAGTTGTTAATGTAAATTGCACTTGCATTATTACCAAAACTTTATTCTATCATATATTATAATAACTATAAAGTGTGATCATCATTACCAAAAATTTATACAGGTTGTAACTATAAAATTTTATACTAGGTTATTTTACTTTCATCGTATTAACAATACTTGTAACATGTAACTTTAACTTCTGCTCCTTCTCAAAGTTAGACAGTTCCATTACATGAACTTTTGCTTCACGTTCTCTTAATAAAAGTTCACATTTTTTTAAAACTAGTTCTCTTTCTTGATATTCAAGTTCATTGAAATTTAAGTTTAAATTTTCTTTATTGTTATTATCATCACAATTATCATCAAAATCAGAAATTGTGACAATTGTTTTGATTTTCTTGTTAGAATTTGCACATCTACATTTTACAGTTGATTTTATAACATTCGATTTTTTAACCTGTGTATTAGCAAATATATAAAAAAATTAATAAAATAAATCATAATTAAATAAAGTCATAATTTTTAATTACCTTTACATTTGTTAAACTGAACATTGCAAGCTATAGGTCTTTTATCTTACCCTCTATTGGGTATATTGTATGTTTTATGAATATTTAACTAAAATCATATTAAGTTACCTCTAAAATAAGGTCCATTTCATAAATATTAATATTATTTATAGTTGTATTATACAGATATACTATTATTCATATTACTTATTGATTATTGTAGTACATATATTAATGTTCTGGACGAAACCAAAACCTATTTGCAGGCGAAACCTCCGAAACTTGACGAAACTAGTTTCACCATTGGTTAAAAATCCAAAACTGCCAAAACTTCTGAAATGTGATGAAACTTCCATAACTTCCATAACCTCTGAAACCTAAAAAAGGAAAATGATCATCCTATCTAACATGCAGAAACTGCGGAAACCGCAGCTTTAAATTTTGATGCAAACTAGAATATCAAGAGTTTTTGCCAGATGATGATTTACTATAACGTGAAGAAATTAAAAAATGAAAAATTTAGGTGGTAGGTCTAAGTCACTTGTATGGAGAACTTACGCTAAACAGGGTGAACAAGAATCAGACAGTCACTATGAGGCCACTTGTATGCACATGCAAAACAAGAATTGTCATATTATAGTATAAGAAAAACAAATGAGGAAATTCGTAATATTTTAGTTTGAATCCAGGTGACAATCTAATTGAAGTTATTGATGATGATTATGAAAGTGATGATATAGAAGCAAGAATATTTGATGAGGAGAATGATTTGATGATTAGCAGAGAGTTAAATTTGGACGCAAATGCAGATTTGGACAAAATTATTGAAGATAGCGACAATATAGGAGAAGGAAAATATACAAGATATAGTTATATCAGAAAATGAAAGTAGTATAGAATGGGACCCTGATATAGAAGCTGATAAAATAATTGATGATATGTAAAGTTTGTTTGCTAATAATAATAAAGAATTCAATAAACAAACAATAAATTTTAAACTTCAATTTACTTTATTTTTTATTTTACATTTAATCACAATAAATAAGTTTCGGAAATTCTGGATATAAGTAATTTAAAAATAAATGTTTCAGAAATTACGGAGGTTTGGGCATGTTACGGAAGTTTGGGCATAATTTCAGAAGTTTACCCTAAAAGACGAAACATTTCGCCAATTGTAAAATAGTTTAGCCCGGAACATTAACATATATATGCAATAATTGCAATATACTAATATACACAATAGTAGGTTTCTTAGCTAAATATGACAAACAAAAAATTGCACAATTACACATTAATATGCAGTATATACAGTATGACTTCCCTGAAAAAATATTACGAAATGGCCAGCATTACACCCTAAGATTTCTAAGTAAAATTCTAGTGATGTTTAAGGGACGTGAAAATAATTTTTTTCACTATTAAAAATTTTCTAAAGTCCCCATGAAAAAATGAAAACAGTAGGATGTGACGCAAGTAACATTTTATGCAGGTCACGTGGGGTGAAAAATCTTGGGGTGATGCTAAATTTAAAATAAGATGATGTTACAATGATATTATATACTGTATATTCCTAATTAAGCAATATAGTTATATGTAAAGGATCCTAAAGGAATCATCTTACTACACCACCCCTGTAATGTTTTTGTCACATCATCATGTTGATCTGTTTATGTTTTTTATTATGTTTCTAAGGGACTTAGTTTTTTTTTACTGGCCTGATCTCTATTTGTCACTGCATTATATATCACCTGTACTATCACATTTAAAGTATTATTTATATTGTGACAGGTGATGTGGCAAGATGATCCTATGTAAAGTTACACAAATTTTTTAAAAAGTCAGATGATAAGAGGAATTAAAAATTTCAAAAATTAAATGACATCATTTGGAATATTAATCATTATTTTTACAATACTAAATAAATTTGAGATTGTTCAAGTTTTAAAAACATGATATAAAATCAGGTATATACTTCGCAAACTTTATTGATTGCATTGTATTCAGTAAGGAAATATATATTCGATTTGTTTTAAATTTTTTTTTTCAGAATCAAACTTTTCCTAGAGCCGTTTTTTATTTTTCAGAATCAAACTTTTCCTAGAGCTGTTTTGTATTTTTCAGAATCAACTTTTTCTAGAGCTGTTTTTTATTTTTCAGAATCAAACTTTTCCTAGAGCTGTTTTTTATTTAAACACTTTTTATTAAACCCCTTTCAAAAGTTACGTGTCATTACTAGATAATGGATTTTTTTTAGTGACGCTAACTGAAAACTGGAGCTGTAATGAAGTGTGTAAATTTTATAGAAGTAAATATGATTTCAAAAACCTAGGAGATGTTCTTTATAAAATTAAAGAAGATCTTATAAAAATGAATAATGCAAAATCTTATCACCCTAATTTACACAGTAAAGCAGCCATTATTCTTAAGGATTAGAATGTAAGTATCAAGGTTATTGAGTTGAGAAAGTATTGTACAGTACAATCTGCAAAAGGGTGCTTCTTTACTTTCAAGTTTTTTGAAATTTCCTGTTTAAAATCTGCCAGTTCTGAAGGAGGAACCAGTTATGTACCTTTTTTAAACCTTTTTTAAACAGTCAAACAACCTGTCTGTTAGATACTTAGTTGCTGGATTGCTGTGATGGTCTACTTCTATCTTAGATTGAGTGTAAACATTTTTGGTTATAATTTATGAATTGCTTACTAACATGTGCCTCTTTTTATTCCACTTATTTAGAATTGAATACGAAATGCTAAAAGGATCGATAGATGTAAGAAAAATGAATGATAATTGTGAAACAACATGATAAAAATTCAATAATTGATAATGATATTAATAAAGAGCGAGCTTTAGATCCAGTAGTTAAATGTACCAATGAATTAAAATCTGAGTTTCGCACTCAAGTTCTTAAACTTTATTATTATCCTGATAAAGATGACTGGAATTTCCAATTTAATACAATTAATAATGCAAAAAAAATTCTCAAAATGGAATAGTATTTAAATAAAGCACATCAAGTTCTGATTTCATAAATGATTATAATCATTTATTTAAAAAATATTATTTTATAGGATTGGTTTCAAATAGGTTAGTAGTTTTTCCTTCTACTATTCACTTTTTTTAGTATTTAGTGGTTCAAGTATAATGAAATTTGCTAAAAATCTGCAGAGATTTAAAAATTAAAATTATATAATTATATAGTACAAATAGATGTTGTGTAAATTTGATAAAGTATTTTTTTGTGCACAATCACAAATTTATATAAATTTACAAGCGTAGAAAAGAATGAATCTAGTTAATAAAATTAATTTAGGTTAAAGAATATTAAATAATTATATTAATATAATACATTATTTTGAATGATTAATTAAATAAGAGAATAATAAAATTTTCTCAATGTCCATAGGTACAAGGCAGTTGAGATATATATAGAGAATAATCTTGCCACTGGATCTAAAGCCGCCTGCATAAATTATGGCGTAAAAATAGTTAAAACAAGATGCACAGTGATTATTAATAACTAATAACTGGCATTACATTTATCACTTACATGAAACAATTACGTGAATATGAGTTTCTTCATTCCAGTAATCTCCTATAACCCTTAATGCAAGTAATTCATCATTTTCTTGAAGAGTAAGATTCTGGAACTCGACTTCTTTATCACATGGGATAGGTATTTCTCACAGTTTTAAACTGGTGACATCAACGTTTCCAAAGGCTCTTGGGTGTTTATCTCTAATTATATCCTTGAACATGGCCACTGTTTCTTATTTGTTGATTTTAACGGAGAACATATGTGTAGAAGGTAGTGTTTGGAATCATGTAACAGTTATTCGAATAACTCGAGTATATTCGAGTATTCGAATAAGCATAGTGGTTATTTGAGTATTCATTTAACCAGATATAGTATAGTTAAAATTCTAATTGGGCATTAAATCCTTAAATTTAACTGAGTTAAAATCATAATTCAGGCTAAAAATTATGTAAATCATTACTNGCCAGATATAGTATAGTTAAAATTCTAATTGGGCATTAAATCCTTAAATTTAACTGAGTTAAAATCATAATTCAGGCTAAAAATTATGTAAATCATTACTATAAAAGGAAATTTAACTTATTCGAATATTATTCAAATACACTTTATAAATTTAAATGAATACTCGAGTATATTCGAATATATCCGATTCCAAACACTAGTAGAAGGCCTCCCTTTAAGGATGCAATTTAAAGTTACAGTGTTTTCCGTTCCATGTATTGGCAATCCCATACAAATTTTTGAATCTCTAAGGAGGTCAACGGTGCTAAACTGCTCTCTTTTTTTAAATAGTCCTGACTTTAATAGGACTTTCTGGCTTATGTTGTAGTAAAAAATTTTCTGGAAACACCTTAAGGGTTAACTTAATAACCGTGGATAAGGAAAAGCACAAAAATGGGAAAATGATTGTTCTTCAGATCCTTTTCTATTTAAGTAAACCACTACCAATGATAGTGGTGTACAGTGTACAAAAAAAAGATTAGCTATAAAATTACCTGATAATTTTGTTTCAACCGTCCAAAATTTTATATTTGTTGATCTTGCTCTCACTTTTCATCATATTGTAATATGTTCTACCCGTATTTAACCTATATGTTTCCATACAAGTACTACAAGAGAAGTCTTAAACTCTCTAGGAGGCTCCTTCGCTAAGCGCAAAGGACTTTTTTATATTAAATTATTATAGTAAGAAAACTCAGGAGAATATTTCTAGCTCCGTTAATATCACAAATGGAATAACCTTCACACTTAAAAGTCTTTGATCCACCTAGTTTGTCATTAACTAATCCATAGGAGCCACATGTTTTACTCGTATAATACTCAGAATATAACTTTACAGTGAGGATATTCTCTTACTTTGTGAAGTAAATATTGACAAAACGATAATGACTCCATGTGCACATGGCTCTGGATAGTTTAGACTGAATACTGCGGAGACCTGGATCTGAAATTCAGGGAGAAGTACTATCCTGTGATTACTACATAACCACTTTGCAAGTTTCCTATGCAATCGTCTAATAAGTTTCATATTCTTTCTGAATGCGAAGCATACATTGTTTCAATTTATACCAAAAATATTTATATTCATTACCATGAAGAGTGGTCCTTCTTACTTTGTATTTTATCGTAAGCATGACATAGATGATAAATTCTTCCAATGTCTCCATTACCTCATGATGCAGTATAACCATCTGGTGAGTAACAAGTCATAAAAGTCCTAACACCTGGATCAAGTGAAATTAACCTAGTTCTTCTTTGTTCCTCATTTACTATGAATGGACCTTGATTTTCGGTTTGTAATTCAAGCGGTCTTGGAATACAGAGATAGAATTCGCTCAACCTATTCATTACTAAGTGACTGTCATAACCCAGAGTATGGGAAATTGGCCTAGAAGATTTTACCTTCCACAGAAAAGAGTACTCATTTTTTTAGACCTCAATGCTTTGATTCTATAGTAATAGATTGCTGTCTGTCTTTTTTAGAGCGATACCTCATGGTAAACCTCTTAATACCAGAAGCAAATGTTGAGCTATACGCCTTGATTAAATCATCCATAACCTGATTACGAATATCATAAGGACTTCCAATACCCATTTTAAGTCAGGTGTATTATTAAACGCATTGACATTAAGAAATTATTTACGTAAGTCTTTTTTGTTCTTTTGATGTTCTCTTTTGTAATGCCATGGAGACACTTGTATGTCCAACGAGAAGCGCCTATCCATTTGCGTAACTTTTCTCGTTCATCTTTTTAGGATATACACGATCTTGAGTTCATCATCACTTAATTTAACGATTTTGTTTAGCCTCAAATAATAATCTACCTCTTTATAACAATTTATAACAAGTCAACTACTCAATTTTCAAAAATTTACCAAATCTACAAGAATGAGATATATGATATTATGAAATACAAACAAGTGAATTTATTATTATAAATTTCTTATTTATTTTTTTATTTAAATTTAATTGAATTAAATAAAATATAGTACATATTAAAGAACAAGTTAATACCTTTTAATTCTAATGAATGTTCGGATTGTATTATTAATTTAACTCAAGTTTAATGAGTATCTATTATGTCTAATATGATTATTACGATGAGATTTTCAGAAATATAATATCATATTTATTCTATAGTAGTCTTTATTGAACTGTACTGTATATTATATAAAGTTAATATTCAATGCATTTCTTTCCAAAGTATATTTTAATATTATAGTTATTATAGTTATTTTTATTTAATTTAATAATTTGGATTCCTACAATTTTTTTTTAAAGAAAAAGAATTATAAAATTGATTCTTTAATTAATTTAATGTCGGTTATTTTTATTTAGACTATTAAAGTTTCAATAATTACTAAGTTGTTTAATAAATAATTGAATCACTCAAACTATTTATAAAAGGCGATGTTTCAACATCATTTGTTACTCAAATTCTAATGTATTTTAAAAAGTAGTATGGTTAAAATACGTGTAGAACGAATAATTCATTATAACCGATACTATTGATCATATAATCAGGTTTTCAGAGGTAAACTTTTGAATAAGTTTAAATATTTACATGAAGTTTGAAAAAAATTAGGCATTACTTTTATATAATAATTAAAATTTCTAAGAATTTAACTTTATTACCCTATAACAAAAGTTTAATTAATTTGTATATCATTTTAGTAAGTACTGTCGGTCAGACCTCGATATGCTGATATTCGATATACCGATATATTAAAAATTCGATATAACGATAAAATTTTCAAAGATTTTCATATAGGTCGCAGGTCCAAAAGGTATTATTTGTGCAACAGTTTGGCAAAGACAAACTGTAGTAAAATCATAGCACCTTGCGCAGCTTTAAAAATGCTTTCAGCGAGCTACTCCGCCACGGTTAATATTTGAATAAAGTAATAAAGTTATTAAGTATAAGTTTCCAAAAAAAAATTTTGCTTATATAAAAGAAAGTAATATGAAAGTTTCCAATAATGTTTGTTAAAAACAAGATGAACTGGAAATTTCTGATGGTAAGTTCTTAATTAATTAGTTTGCTTTAAAAAAAAATCTTATTTATTTTACCAATTTGTTTTTAGATGGATCATTTCATATCGGCTGATTGGAAAAATCAAGCCAATTAATATTTAAGCTCAGTTGATGGGTTCATTATATAACTGATGGGTTACTTATTGTCATTAGCGTATAAAATTATGGGAGGCTTTTCTGATCAGCCGATATGTAACAATGTTTTTTTTATATTTTAAATTATTATCATTTATTTATTTCTTTATTATTTTATCTTGGATTATATAAACACTAAGACTAAATAGAATAGTAAGTGTTTTACAAAATTCTTAGTTTGTAATTTAAATAATTTTAATTAATAATTGTGGTTATGTTATCGATTATCAAATTACAGTAAAAAATTAAAATTGGTGAAATGATTATCGGTGTCGGACAGTGAAATGAAATGATTTTCGGGGAGATGATTTTCAGTAAAATAGCCCTGTCGGTGAAATTAAATGATTTTCGGCGAGATGATTTTCGATGAAATAACCCTGTCGGTGAAATGAAATGATTTTCGGTGAAATGATTGTCGGTAAGTTGAAATGATTTTCAGTGAAATAGTATATTTAACTTAAGTGTGACCTTGTAAATCCCAATTCATTCGTAGTACTAAATTTATAAATTTTTACAAATAAATAAAATTCTATGGAAAAAATCATTCATCGGAATGGTAACTCATTTGATCTGCAAAAATCAATTTCCGATTAAATAAGAAAATTCTCGCAGATAATTTGTAACAACATTAGTTTTTTACTAATATGTAATTAATTTTAAAGTGTTTCACAAGCAGGGATTCGAATCTTTTTAAGATTTTTCATAGACGGTCAACCTGACGTTAAATAAAGTTTCTGATTTTTTTAGCGAAATGATCAGTTACAATTCCTATTCAAAAATAATAATGTCCTCATTGTAAAATCAATATTTTTCTTATTAATACGTCGCAAAAATCGTTTAAGTTGATCTACGTGTCAGTCGTGTCATACAGTATATTTATTTGGCATAATTTTAGGGGGTCATATAGGTAATGTTACATAAATCGTAATATATATTCAAACAAATCACTTTTCGGACAATTAAATATTTTTCTTAAAATGTGAAAATTTTTAAAATATTTCGCAAAAAATTAATGTTTATTAATATACTTAATAATATTTTGCAATATTTAATGAATTATTATTAATGTTATTTAGTAATTAGAAGTTTTTTGCTTTATATTAAATAAAAATGTATTTTTTTTCATACAAAAGGTATATTTTTTCCTTTTATTTTTAATATACTTATATCAGTGAAATTAACTCACTATCGGTAAGTTGAAATGTCGATGAAATAATTATCAGTGAAATAGACTGAACCCTATAACAATCAATTTAATAAAATGAAAATAAACATGATGCTACTATATTGTTATCTCAATTAACGTAATTTTATGGAAAAAAAAAGATAGTTTGGGCTTCTATATTTTTTTCATCGGAATTTGATCTGCAAAATCAATTACCGAATAATTAATTTTTCGAATGAAAATCTCAGCCTTTTGTAGTTATTATAATACAAGAGTTCATGTTTAGAGGGGAGTTGGGTTAATGTAAATGCTAATGCAAGATTTAGTAAATACTACTTTTTTAATAAAAAAAACGTTGAACCCGGTGTTTTTCATTAAAAAAAATAAATAATGTCAAATTTGACGTTTTTTCATTAAAAAAAAAATAATAATAAATAATGTCAAATCTGACGTTTTTTCATTAAAAGAAACAAAAAAACGTTTTTTTAATAAAAGTTTGACGTTTTTCCATTAAAAAAGAATGAGAAATGTCAGGTTTGACGTTTTTTCATTAAAAAAAAAAAATAATAAATGCCAAACGTGACATTTTTTCATTAAAAGAAATAAAAAAATATTATATATATATTAGTAAAATAATAGTATATTATAATTTAGGGTAAATAAGTTATTTTTAGATATTTTATTAATAATTTTATTTAATAATAAATTAAGGTAATAACATATATAATATTAGTTTAATATAAGATTTTACCTTCCTACTTCCATACAAAATGAGTATCAACTAATTAAAATATAATAATTAAATAACTTGATATGTGTAATGTAAGATATATATATATATATAGCAATAAAAATTAATAATTAAAATATCAATGGAAGTTTAATTATTAATAATTAAATTTAATATTATATAAATCTAAATTATAATATATTAAAAAAAAGTATTTAAATTTTTTCATATGAATAATTAGATGTCATTTCTACAGATCTCCATAAAATACGTCGAAAACCAATTACTAATATAACAAATCCTTTTAATTTATTAGGATTTGATTTAGTTATTTTAATTCTTTTATCAAATATTCCTGAACTGTAATAATCAATTGATTTTCCCTTTGAAATAATATTCATATATGATTTCAATTGATTAACTCCATTATTTAATACTTCTTCTATAGTTATTTGTTTATTTTCATTATGCTCTTTTGACCAATATTCATATGATCTTTTTAGTAGAATTTTTTCATCTTCTTTTTCAATAATTTTATCCAAATTTTCCAAATCATTTGTATTAGACTTTTTTTTTGATTTTAATTAATCCAATCAATGAAATGTATTTTAATTCTAAACTAATATTATTATTTCCTATTCCTTTTAAAACAAAAATATCTGAATATCCAAATCGACCAAATCCTTTTAATTTTGTACTATCCATTACTAATGATAATTCAGGAATACGATATTTTAATGGTAAAAGGTTTTCAACAATTGCCTGAAGAACAGGTTCATCTGCAGAAGACAATGATATTTGTGATCTTGTTGACAAAAATGTTTTTAAAAGTTCAATAAAAGGTATAATATTATCTGTAACAAGGTTTTCGTATGCTGAAGCAATAAGAAGAGCATCATTTACAACTTGTTTGTATACTAATCTATCTTTGTTTTGTTCCAAAATTCGAATTTGCTTTGTTACAAGTTCTAATATAAATAATTATATGAAGAGTTAATAAATAATAAATAAAAAAAAAATAATGATAAAGATATTATAATTTACCAGAAGATGAATCAGTATCAGTATCATTATCTAGTACTCTTTTTAATTTTTCTTTTTGTTTAACTTGAAAAATAATTTTTTCAGTCCAAATCTTATTAAAAGCTGATTCCAATTCTTCTCCTAAAGTATGCATTTCACTTCCTATATCATTATATTTATAACAATTACGAAATATAAGACGAATATCTTTTTCAAATTCTTCAATATTTGCATATTGATTATTTTCTAATTTTGAAATTATGGTAAATAAGTCTATTGGATTTTTTATAATCTTTTCATCATATTTGTAAAATGGATGAATATTAGATTTAATATCAAGTTCTTGAAGGATATCATAACAAAAGTTAATAAGTTGAGAATTTTTAGAATGATCTTTGGTAAAAATGGAATAATTTTTAGTAGAAATGGAATTATCTTTAATAGGAATTTTAATGTTCTTTTTTTGATGAGATGAATTAGAAATAGAATGATTTTTAATATTATTTTTATCAGAAATCTCAATAACATTTTGTAAATCAGTAGAAATGAAATGATCTTTAATAGGAATTTCAATATTCTTTTTTACATTATCTTTATCTGAAAGCTCAATAACATTTTGTAAATAAGATGAATCAGCAGGTAATAGATTTTCTTTTTCATTATATTTCTTAGAAGTTTTTCTATATTCCTTGATAATTTCTTGCCAAAATATTTTTAATGTTTTTGTATAACGTGATCATTCTGAAATTACCTATATATTATAAGAAACAGATGTTAGTAGTGTGTTAAAATTTTTATTTAGTAATATAAGAAGGTACATAGCCAATTCCTCCTCCAGAATTAGCAGACTTATATTAACAACAAAAGTTAGGACACCTGAATCGAGAAACTTGGAGTGGCTACCAAGGTTGTCAAACCCAGTAAATTCCCTAAGTTAAGCATGCTTTAACTTAGGGGTTACCCTTAACTTTGCAAAATAAAAAAAAAACACACCTTATCTTTTAAATCTGGCAAATCTTTTCCTTCATCCAAAAAACGAACAGCCCAAAGATTATCAAGGTTTTTCCAATTGCCTAAAAAAGTTTTAGTAGTAGCAATTGAAGTAATAATAATATCACAGTGACCTTTTAAGAATCCTAAATATGATCTTGTTGTCCTATTATTATCTGTTAAATAAGAGATAAGGGCTGGAAAGATTTAAGATTGAAATAAAGTTTTGATTAATTATTAATATTAAAAGTTAAAATACAGTTCACAAGATTTACCATTTTGACCAATGTAATTTTCAAGCATGCTCATGTTTGAAATTGATTGATAATTAAGAGTTAAAAAATTGAGTTTAAAAAATTGAGAGTTTAAGAGTTTTATAAATTGAGAGTTTATAATTGAAATTGATGTCTTAAATAAAAAATATCCCTTGTATATAGTGTGACTCAAGCTGACACATTGAGATATCAAAGTGAAAAAAAATTAACACTACATTTATAATTCTTTATTATATTGACAAAGACCAACAAGAACTGAATCATTTTGCCAAATATGGCATGATATAATTTTTGATTAAAATCATATCATTAGAAATTAGACATATTTTGATTAGCAAATGACTCAACTTTCATCAGTCTGAGGCATTTGACATATACGCGTTTAAAGATGAAACATGTTGAAATATATTGTGCACGATACATGCACAGTAGGTGTTACGAATAATATGTATATTTTATGATGTAATTTAAGTGTATTAACATATCAATTTTGTTAGGGGATTGTATTCAAAAATTCTTAGATTTATTGACTGCGAGGTCGATGATCAGATTTTGACATAGTATTAATCATTATTAGTTATGGGACGCGTTTAATTTACTATGTTTTCATTTTTTTTAAAATAAAATAAATAATTATTACTATAGTAAATATAGTATATACGTAATAACATATCTTCAAATTTTCTTTCTACTACCCATATCACATACAAAACATATAAACTTAGATCAGTTTTCAATTTTAATTTTTTTTATTTTTGACGTAAGGATGTTAGTCAAGACATTGTTTTAATGTTCTTTTCCTTTCTAGGATTTCTCTTTACTACAAAGTGGATTTTTTAGACCTTAGAATTTGAATTAATATATTATTTCGAAGAATAAGAAAAAGTCTATTGTTGAGAACTTGATTTTTTTTCTAGAAGATTACATACAGGTGGGATTATATTTCATATTTTTTTATTATTTTGTTCTCTACTTTCCTTTATTTTCTTTTTAAATTTAGATTAATGGGATATGATATATTCAAAGTTTATTTCAACATAAAACTTTACCGGCAAATATATCACATGAAAGATAAGGATAAGATTATATGGTAGTGGCTGGATATTTTAAGTATTGAAGTTTTTTCACTATTTGCAAATTTATTCTAAATGTTTAATAATTGGATAAATATGCATGCTTATTTTATATCATTAATTAAATAAATATGCTTTTTTATTAGTTGGAAAAATACGTTATCTTTAATTGTTAATCAAATAAATACGCTATTTTTTTTAAAAAAAATAAATAAATGCGTACTCGTATACCGTTGTGGGTGTCGTAGATTTATGTAATTTTTCACACATCTATTTATTTTGCAAGGCTAAAAAATGTAAAGGATCTTTTTCTAAAAGAAAGGGTTCAAATTTTGGAAACTTTATTAGAAGATATTATTTTACATGTTTATAGAGAAGGTTAAAATGCAAAACTAAACACTTAAAAAGTATAATGAAATAAACAGACAAAACAATAAATTACAGAATTTAATGTTTTCCTTAGTTTAAACATTTTATTTTAATTTCAGAAAACGTGGAATATCTGGAATATTGTAGTATGACGTTAAAAAAATGATTTTGGGCGAATTATGTATATTGACATTTTTTACACTCACATGTTGTCCATGTATCTTGGCTTTAAAGTATGTCACCGTGAAATAACAAGAAATCACGTGAGTTGAAATTATTGTGGCGGTGTACTTTATATTACGGTAATTCAAGAAATTTTGTCAAGAGAAATTTGCTGAAACTTTCAATACAAGAGCTCTTTAATTTCATTTAAATACAATTAGAATGAAAACAACAATTATAGCCGCAGATGTTTTACCTGGATATGAATATCATGTTTATATGTTTCTAATCGTGGTTAAGTCCTAAATATTGTTATCTGAGAGCTATGAAAAAGGAAGCCCAATATTAAAAATGGTATAGGATAAATCAAATTTCCGAAGTATTTATTATCATTTATTTAAGACAATGCCTTTGATACGAAGTTAACATGACGTAATCCGCTTAAAGACGCTAATTTTATGATAGTGATTATTCATCCTTTTAAACTGATAAGTAAGTGCCTTTATAATGGTAGCTTCTTATTAATAACTTACACTTATACTTAAGTCTTGAAATAATTTTAATAATTAAATTTAAAAAAAATATATTTTACGATTTTAATAATTGCTAACCTTGGAGATTATTACTTCAGAAGTCAGTTTATCAGATTAATCATAATATTAAAATTGAAACTTTTTTTTATTGTTAAAGAAAGGGTTCATATTAATGATTATTACGTAAAAAAAGAATATTTCAAGGAAAAATTAAGAATAAAATAAATGATTACTTTAAAACAGTATTAACATCGAACGACAAAATGAATTTTTCTCTTCTAGCGATTAGATTTGTGTTATGGTATATACAGTATATAATTTTAATTCTTAAATTAATAATTTTAAATCTTATAATCTTATAAGAAACATTTAACCCAATTTTTATTAATTTAACGAAAATATGTAATCAATATCAAACAAACTACAATCCTTTTTTGATAATTTGATATATTTTGCAAGAATCAGTTGACATTTTTTTCCACTGATAATAATATTAATAGTGTTGAATTCAATGATGCATATTAATACATATAACTAGTTAGTCAATAATTCCATATTCTATTTGTGGACTAATATAGTCAATCCATCATTTTTTGGCATTTTGTATAGCAATGTTATAGTATGATTAAATATAATAATTAAAAAACTAACGTCCAGATATTTTTGTAAAATCTTGCAAATCATTTAATTCATTCCGGACAGCTATAAATCATAACAATAGGTCGTATGTTAATATCATATTAAAATCAATACTATTCAAGTCATAATATCGAATGTTCAATAAAGTTTTTGTATTACTATATGTTAATAACGCGTATGTTTCGGATATTTATTATCCGGAATACTAAATTCACAACAACAGTAGGTACGAAAATAAATAAAACTGTGTCATAGCTGGCGGATAAAAACCGTTATCCGGATAAATTAAAAAAAAATTATCCGGTTTCTATTCGAATAAATCCGGATAGGATATATATAAATTTATTTATTTATTTATTCATTTTTTTGATGAATTTTACGATAATAAATAAATACGTAGTATTAGCTTAACTAAATTAAGACATTTATTTAAATAAATCAGTAACGTATATAATATGTAAAAATAAAATTTTAAATTCGCCCGGAACTATAAATTTTGTCTAAATCGAATTTGCAATTGCATAAATGAACATAATATTATTTTCGTATGGCTGAATTTTTGGAATGCCAATCAATCGACGCACCTGACACACCTCGTTTGCCATAGATCTAGGCCTTTCCTTTTTTGGTATAAATACATATATAGATCACTGGCTAAATATATGTCGCTCCTATCACTCACCAAAAAACTTAAAAACTTATTAAAATTATATTCTTAATAAAATAATTGTAAAATCAAAAAAGATAAATTGCTCTTGATCCACCGAAAAATGTTAAAATCAAATCTGCTGCGCCACGAACAATGTGCTGTGTGGATCTGGAAAAAAAATTATCCGGGTTCACCTAATTGCCGATCATTTGGAATAGATCGTTATGAAATCGGGCTATATATGGAAAATTTTATTGTAAATTATCCTTTTACGGTTTTATTGAACGCCACCATGCCATTTTAGTCTAAAACTTTTTTTTTAACAAATATTATTATAAAAAAACCGTATAAGATACTGCAGAATTAATTTAATTGTATAAATTAAGTAAATTTCATAGCTCAATACAGTAAGGCTTGTTAAAAAATGTTGGTAAAAAAGAATATTATCAAATTTATTGGTAAATATATGGATATATTTGAACCAAAATATGGAGTTTTTAAGACGTCAGATTATAACTTAAATTTGGAAGAAAGAAGATCAAAATATGAAAAATACAAATTTATTTTATGCAAAACATGTAGTAATGATATTTATATAGAGGATTGTTATTGTACATCTTGCTATGATAAAGAAACTGATCTTGTTAAAAAAGGCCATATGAAATTTGGACCAAAATTTGAATTTTTTGAGACATTAGATTATAACTTAGATTTAGAAGAAAGAAGAAAAAAGTATATGAATTATAATAATATTTTATGTAAATAAAGAATGTCATAATAATATTTATATGATGAAGGAATGTTTATATTGTACATCTTGTTATAATAAAGAAACTGATGTTATTAAAATAGCTTATATGAAATTTGGACCAAAATTTTGAATTTTTAAGACATCAGATTATAACTTAGATTTAGAAGAAAGAAGAAAAATGTACATGAATTATGATAATATTTTATGTGAAGAATGTAGTAATGAAATTAATATGCAGCAAAAGTGGAATTACAATAATAAAAAAATTAATTTTATTGAAATTGCTTATATGAAGAAATATGAATATGAAAATGAAAAATATAGTAATGAAATTGATGAGTGGAATTATTATTGTATATATTGTTATGATAAAGAAACTGATATTATTAAAAAAGGTCATATAAAATTTGGATCAAATTTTAGAATTTTAGATTGTAACTTAAATCTGGAAGAAAGAAGAATAAAATACATGAATTTAGATGGCATTTTGTGTGAAAAATGTAATCAAGAAATTAATAACCATTACTATTATTGTATGTCTTGTCATTATAAAGAAACTGATATTATTAAAAAAAGTCATATGGAATCAAATTTTGGAATTTTAGACTGTTACTTAAATCTGAAAGAAAGAAAAGCAAAATATGAAAAATATAATCTCATCTTATGTGAAAAATGTAATAATGAAATTTTTAAGTGGAATTATTATTGTACACCTTGTTATAATAAAGAAACTAATGTTATTGAAAAAGGCCATATAAAATTTGGATCAAATTTTGGAATTTTAGATTATAACTTAAATCTGAAAAAAAGAAGAATAAAATATATGAATTTTGATGGCATTTTGTGTGGAAAATGTAACAAAGAAATTGATAATCAGTGTTATTATTGTACAGCTTGTTATAATAAAGAAACTGATCTTATTAAAAAAGGTCTTATGAAATTTGAATCAAATTTGGAAATTTTTAAGAAATCAGATTATAACTTAAATTTGGAAGAAAGAAGAGCAAAGTACATGAATTATGATGGTATATTATGTGAAATATGCTATAACCAAATTAGTAAGTGGAATTACTATTGTATACATTGTTACAATAAAGAAACTGCTGATGCTATTAAAAAAGGTCATATGAAATTCTGTCTCTTATACACATCTAGATGTGTATAAGAGACAGGTATATGAATTATGATGGTATTTTATGTGAAAAATGTAATAATGATATTTATAAGTGGGATTATTATTGTACACTTTGTTATAATAAAGAAACTGATGTTATTAAAAAAGAACATATGAAATTTGGATTAAATTTTGCAATTTTAGATTGTAACTTAAATCTGAAAGAAAGAAGAGCAAAATATATGGATTATGATGGTATTTTATGTGAAATATGCTATAATCAAATTAGTAAGTTGAATTATTATTGTATACATTGTTACAATAAAGAAACTGATGCTATTAAAAAAGGTCATATGAAATTTGGATCAAATTTTGAAATTTTTAATACATTCGATTATAATTTAAATTTAAAAGAAAGAATGAGAAAGTATATGAATTATGATTGTATTTTATGTGAAAAATGTAGTAATGAAATTGATAAGCAATATTATAATTGTAATAATTGTTACAATAATCAAATGATAATTAATAAATGCAAAGTATGTTTTATAGGAAATAATGATAATTGTTGTTCATTTTATGAATTTAAGCAATATTTGGAAAACTTTAGTAAATGGATTAATGAAAATAATGTATTTAAAACATCAAAAGTTGGAATTTCAGATTATGATTTAGATGAAGATGATAGACGAGTAAAATACAAGAACTTCGATTATATTTTATGTAAGAAGTGTGATAGAAAGTATCATTATAATTATTGTTATGAGTGTTTTGATGAAAAAATAAGAGAATTTTCCCCTAAATTACAAGATTATGAAAATTTTTATTTCAAAGTATACAAAAAAGAAACGAACGAATTAAGAGAATTAAAAGAATTACAATCTATTTTAATAGATTACAAAAATATTTATTTTAAATTAAATAGTAATTTAGGAATATTTAAACAAATTATACAAAAATTTGAAAACACAAAATATTATGTACTAGATAAGAAAATTCTTATAGATAATATAAGATATAATGGAGTACATAATTGTTGGCGTAAACTTCGTTCTTACTGCTGTAATTGTTATGATAGAGAAATTGATATTATTGAAAAAAAACGTATGGAATTTGGAAAATGTAAAGAATGTCTTAAGATACATGAGGATTTGGATGGTTGTTTATCCTGCAATCCTAAACATTTTCAAAGAGATTTTGATAAGTGGACCAGTAGAAATGAGGTTATTGATAAGTTGATACAAGATAATCAACTTTCGGTTAGAAGATACGGATTATTAGAATGGATTCCATATGATAAATTTATAAATATTAATTACATTGCTGAAGGAGGGTTTGCAAAAGTATATTCAGCTTTATGGATAGATGGACAAATTAGAAAGTGGAGTCAATTATCTAATAGTTGGAGAAGAAATGGATCAACAACAATCGCTTTAAAAGTATTGAATAATTCAGAAAATATAAGTGAAGATTATCTAAATGAGGTATGTAGAAAATAATTTAAAAATCAATCACATTACCTTTATATACGAAATTCATATATTTTTAAATATTTATAGATAAGATTTCTTAACGAAGTTAGTGGTTATATGTGTATAATTAAATGTTTTGGAATTTCTCAAGATCCTATTTCTAACAATTATGCATTAGTATTACAATATATGGAAAATGGCGATTTACGAAAATATCTTGAACGAACTGCTAATATAATTAAATGGGATCAAAGATTAAATAAGATATATGATATTTGTCTTGCACTTAATAATATTCATGTTCACAAGTTAATTCATAAAGATCTTCATCCGGGAAATATTTTTATCGATCCTACATTTGCATATATTGGAGATTTTGGATTATGTATGCCAGCAAATGAAATTTTATCAAATTTTATCAAAAAAAATATTTATGGAGTAATACCATATATGGCACCTGAAATATTACGTGGGAAACCACATACATTAGCATCTGATGTATATTCATTAGGTGTGATCATAAATGAAATAATTACAGTAATTCCTCCATTCAATAATCAACCACATGATCATTTTCTCGCACTGGATATTTGTCGAGGTTTACGCCCAAATATTAGAGAAGAAACTCCAACTTCTTTAAAAGAATTAATTAAAAAATGTTGGGATGCAAATCCAGAAAACCGACCAGCTTCCAAAGAAATGTTATACGTATTATCAAATAAACTTAGCGAATATAAAAATATGCCACTAAAATTATCATATAATCTTAATGAATCAAATGAACTACAATCACATCCTTTAGCTACTTATATGAGTCGGCCTCTCAATTTTCAAAATCTACCAGAACCTATTAATTGCACAGATCAACAAGAATTTATTTCATCGAGATATACTAAGAGAATACGAACAGGTAAAATTGTTTTATTATATATTACTCTTATCCGATTATTAGTAAAATAAAGTTAAATAAAAAATTTATATATTATAGGGCAAGTTAACACTATATATTCTGATGAATGTTTGGATTGTATTATCATGGATAAAGATTGAACTCTGATCTTATAACATCATTAGTATTTATTCTAGTCTTTAAAATATTATTCAATTGAACTTGTATATGATATAGAAATTTTAATATTCATACTATATATATAGTAGTATAATACACATTTTTTGCTATTTTTATAAATTAAAATATAATAAATTGTCGCTTTACTTTGTTAAATGCTCTCGGGATATGATTTTCCAGATTTTTACAAAAGTGTACCATATAATATGGTGGTTAAATTCACTATATATATAATTTTTTTTTTAAAAAAAAATGATAGCAGATAGAATTATAAGAAATTAATTTTTGCTTTTGGAGAAAATATAAATAAATGAATCATTTGAACTCGGACAGAATATATATATTCTTTATGCGAGATTTTGATTCGTATGTTTGTTATGTAATTAAATGATACTAACATAAGTATTATTTAAAATAAACATAACGTCAATAGCCGGACAAACTATATAGTTTGTCACTGCATGTCACGCCCTACCTGTTTTCTTATTGAGTCACGACTTTTTTGATAAGAGAAACCCTATTTGTCACCTATTATTTATTTATTTCTTAATCTTAATGTCGGCTAAACTTTTCCTTTTCGGGATAGAACTGGTTTTATACATCCAATAAAATATTTCTCGTGTAAAGATCTTTATGAATTAACTCGTGAACATGAATATTATCAAATGCAAGACAAATATCATATTATTCTATTCAGTATTTGATCACATGTATTAAATTAGCAATTCATTTTCCATATATTGAGGTTCTAATTAATTTAATAAAATTTAACAAATATATTCTAGAGTAATGTCATATATAGCACTTGAAATATTATGTGGAGAAAAATACTAATATATAGTGTATTAATTTCAACCGAACAATAAAAATGCAATTTTATGAAGCACATCCTGAAGCTATTTATAAAATCGACTTCTTGTTTCACAAAATTTGGGTTCATATTTAACCCAGAACCTGTAAATTGTCCAAGTCGACAACAAATTTATATTTTAAAGATCTATTGTACAACAAAAAAGTGAATTATTTAAAGCCCATATGCATATTATTTGATTAAAATGGTAACTAAATATATTTTTTTAAAAAAAATTGTATATACAGTATCTCACATTCTGAAGAAGACAAATGTTTTTGCCGCTATGGTTAAATAATACTAATCAACTTAGACTGTATTTATCTTTTCTTTGGGGACATACCTTGAATTAGAAGTTGAACGAATGATTGGGAATTCCCGCAGTAAAGATTTATCATGTGATTTATTTTTAATATCCGTATAATGACGTAGTAAAAGATTAATAATAATAATGACCCAAATTTTTAATATTTGAGTAATTTGAAATTTGATCTTATTATACTTTATTACTACTATCTTAATTTTGAGTTGATCGCGCCAAAAACATCGTAGTTAAAAACAATGAAACTTCAACGTTTCTTTAATATTAAAATGTTCTTTTCAAAATATAAACCTATTTCTTCGATAAAATAAAATCCAATTTATAATTATCGATCAACTGAACTGAATATACTGTACATAATTGGGATATAAAAAGTATACTGATCAGTAGTATACTGTAGTTAATCTTTATTTATATAGTGTCATGTGCTAGTGCCTTTATTGAATAACTGTATATGAAGAGAAAAGACAATTATTATTCGATTTCAAAAATTCGCACAGAACTGACAGAAGCTTCCGCTGTTGTGTTTTTTTATAAATGATCGAAAATCAACGAGAAAAATAGATTATGAAATTAAGTATAATTTTTAATGAGATTAAAGAAGCTATGGCGTTTCATACATAATCTTAAGATTATGGCTATATTACAATTTCTATAATTTAAGTTCTGAATTATTTTGATATATAACAGTAAAGATGAATTAATTATACTACTAATGATATCATATAGGAAAAATAAAAATAGTACCCACTTTTCACTTTATATGATTAATTACGGTATAATAATCTTGAATATGAAAATTTTCTATAAAATATATTAGAATTAAAATTTAAAATCATAATAGAACAATTACCCGTACAATAAGTCTCACATAAAATACATTCATTTTCAAATCTAGAAGAAGATAGGATTGTAAGTCATATTTTCATATTTAATATAATTGGATTTAATATCTAACCTTCAATAAAATTTAGAATTTTTTATTTATTTAGAATACAAAAACATGAACAAATTGAACATGGTCCTATTATATTATTATTTGTTAAAAAATTGAATTTATATATTTATATAACTGATAACAATTTGATTTTCTTTTATATTAAAAAGGGTTTAGCACAAAAATATATGTTTTGTAGAAAATGGTTGAAGACATATTTTGTAAGAAAATATATTTCATCAACTTGTTATTTGTATTTTATTAGTTGATAAAGTTAAAAATCTTAGAGAAAATGTTCAAATTTGAAAATATGAAATAAACAGACAAAACAGTATTTAATACTTCTTTAGCTTAAACATTCAATTTTAATCTAAAATTTTTTACTTTATTTATTTCCGGTATTTCTTTTTTCATTTCTTATTTTTAGATCTATTTTCAATTTTAAAAAAAGGATTTGGTTTTAGCGCTTACTGTATTTGTCCCAGTATCGTCCCACATGTTGTGAATAAGTTGTCCCTACGTCACCGTAAATAAGAAATCACGTGAGGTGAAAATTTTTGGTATATCTTAAGAAAATTTGCTGAAGCTTTCAAATACAGTAGTTCTTTAATTTTATTTAAGCACAATCAGAATAAAAATAATAATTATAGTCAACGATGTTTTGTTTGGATATGAATTTCACATATTTAATCGGTGATTATGATTTTTCAAAACATATCAAAGTCAAATTAATCTACTGAAACGCCAGTATTAAAAATGGTTTAGCACCTGTTAAATATCTCTAAAAAGGACAATTCAATTTCTGAAGTATTTACAAATTTATTATAATACATTGACTATAGAATAACTAGAGAATTAAGACAATAAAGTTATCATGACGTAATTCTCTAATTTCAAGATAATGAGGAAATACTCTTTTACACTTCATAAGTAAGTGCTTTTATAATGGTAGCTTATTAATAACTTATTACATTTAAGTTTTGAATAAATTAAATTTCGTAATCACCAAATATGGAAATAATCTTTTGTCATTTTAGATCCACGTTATCCTTGACAAGCATTTTTGTTCAGTGAATGTAAAGTAGTTATAATGATTATATATGTTTTGATGATGATTTAATCCCTCGATCAAAGACCCATGACACTTAAAAATTGCCCATAAAAATTAATTTGGAATTCGTCCATATTCAAATTTTTAAAATATGAAGAAGCGAGAATATCTTTGCGAATTACGATTTAATACGTACACTTCGTAGACTCAAATTTAAATTTTAAAAAAATACTGTTTTTGATTTAGAAGGAGTTTCCTCAAATTAATCGTGATACTCTTTATAAAATTTATATTTCAAAAACTTAAACCATGTTAAGTAAAAAAATTTATGGCTAATAGAAAATTAATGTATTACATGTCCTATAAAAAATTTTTCAGAAAAATGATCACGTGTCTGAGTTTCTTAACTATCATTTATCGGAGTTTTTTCCAGAATTGGGATGATATTGTTTAGATGATTATTACTGTACTTAAAAAGGAATATTTTAAGAAAAAAATTAAGATTAAACATAGTAAAAGATTACTTGGAAATTATTGAACGATAAAATGATAAAATGCGGTACTTTAGAAATTTTTCTATTATTGTCACTTATTTTTAAAATTAACGGCTAATCATATTATTAATAGTAATATTTAACTCATTTTTTCTAATTTAACGTAAATATGTAATCAACATTCAATTATGATTCTTTTTGAGATAATATAATATTGTACTTTGTAAGAATCAATCTTTTTATATTGTTATGAAAAATCTCATGGTAATATTAATAATATTAATAATATTTGCACATAATGTGTAATATACTGTATATATTGAGTTAATACCATTAATTCCATATATCATTCGTGGCTGTTTTTTTCAGACTTCTAGATCACTAATACTGTGTTCCGTTCATCCATCACTCATTTAACTACGGTGGGGATATATTCGTTAGTGATACGGCCAATTCTCGTAAATCGCATGACAATAAAATATAATGTATCACAAATCTATTTTTATCTTGTTTATTTATTAAATGTAGCAATTCGCTTCGCTCCGGACAATAATTAAAAAAAAGCATCCAGGTGTTTCTGTAAAAATCCTGCAACTCAAATCTGGACAACTTATACTATTTATCGATATAATAACATTACTGTAGAACGATAAACACTACAGAAAAAAATATATTTTAATATCATATATATCATATTAAAATAAATCAATATTATTAAGGTAGCTAATTGTCTAATTTAAATACTTTATTATTTTTTTTGCCGCAAAATAATATCTGCATTTAGAGTTTGAATTTGTTATCTGTTTGAAATGTTCAATACTTTGCAAAATTATAGTTTATCTATGGAATTTATTTCAGATTTATGTGATATATACTAGCAATAATTCAGATATGCATGGACATATTTGAATTCTAAATCCACATCATCTTAATTACGAAAAATAAATTAATAATTTTGTCATTATAATGATCATTGGGTTAGCCAAACCATTTAAATCTGCAGGTATAATCCCTCCAATGATATTTGGTATTTCACAAATTCCGTGATTAATTTGATCGCCACAAATTGCCAAAATTTCGTGCCCATAAATTTACATATTTTATTCAGATATTCCACATAATTGCACATAATTAGCAAAAATACAATTTTTTTTTGATAAACGCATTTCTTTATTAGTAATTGTATTTAAATTTCATATTACATCGTAAATTTAGAAATACATATGAAATTAAGAAACAACTCTAAATGAGTCCAACTTAATCGCTTCATATCAAAACCTTCGTATAACTAACGAAGTATACTACTATATCTACTTAATTTATCAATTTCTAAAATTACTATAATCTAATTAAATCTGGAAGACTGGAACGATACCATTATTTTTTATATCCCCATTTATGTTTATCATATTCTCCCAATCTAAATACGTTATCTTTACTATCATATTTTTTGTAACTATTTTTATTTTTTTTAATTTTATTTTTTCCTTCGTCGCCACTACTACTTCACTCTCAATTACTTTTTTCCCTCTTTTCCTTTTTAATTCTTTCGTTATTCCTCTAGTTTTTTCCAGTTCTATCGTTTCTTCACATCTTTTATTCCAAAATAACTTTTGTATTTTATCCATATATCTATCACATATTTTACAAATTATATCTTTATCTCCTTTAACTATACTCACTTTAATCCACTTTTCGTTGATAATACCTCTTGTCAATTCTCTAAGAACATTTATATATATATATATCTGTTACTTCGATATAAGAGCGTGACTTTAATACCTCGATCAAATCATCTTCAAGTCTTACATTTATCTCATCACTATCGTTCATTTTAAGACTTGCTCTCATCTCCTGTAAAATTTCGTAAATACTATTTTCTAAACCTGAACAATGATGTTTTATTAATAATATAAAATTTCACAAATATAATATAATGCTTGGTTTAATAATAATGTGATACTAAAAGTTATAAAAATAGAATTCTGAAAATCTCCTTTCCATTAATCAAATATTTTCCCTTTTTATACTAAAACGAATTTCGAAAAAATAAATTCTGTTTTGAATTTCCCTTTTTTTCATTTGATGTTTTTCAATTTTGACTTTTTCCAAATTTTACCCTTAACAAACCTTTTTTCCTCTCATCAAAAATATCATTTTTAACATTTCATAATTATCAACTTTTCAAAATTTCTTTTTTTGTTCTTCAAACCCTTTCCTAATTTAGTAATTCCTCGAGCGTAGTTCCCTTTCCTAAATCTAAAAATAAATATGAACACAAGAATAGTTTTACATCGTTACGGATGTTACACTAGTAACATTTCACAATTATAATACTTTAAATTTTATACACTTATTTTAGTCACTTAAACTAAATATGATACTGCGCCCCTCAATTAATAAATTCCTTTTAAAAATAATTTCTGGCATTACGAATGATCGACAAATGCAAGTTTGCGGCTACATATGAAAATTTTTTTTTTTGGGTAAATTATCTTTTTATGGTTTTATTAATACGGATAACAACAAATAAAGTTATTGATTGTAAATTTCGGAGTTTATGTTTCATTGTTCATAATAAAATATTGTCAAAAAATCTTTGTGTGAATTATTAAAGAATAGGCATTCTTATATATAATCAATTATTATTGATTTAAGAATTATATCAAGTGAATAAAAATAAGATTACGGCCTTATTTGGATATTCAGTTGGAATTAATTTGGAAATATAAATTAAAAAAAAAATAAATAAATTTTATTGAGTTCAAATACGATAAGGCTGAAAACACTTGTTGGAATCATGTCGTTAGAAGAGAATATTGAAGAAAACATCCAACTTATTAATAAATATGATACAATATTTGGAGTTTTTAAGATATTAGATTATGATTTAAATTTAGAAGAAAGAAGAGCAAAATATAAAAAATATGATCACATTATATGTGAGAAATGTAATAATTATATTTATAAGCAATATTATTATTGTACAGTTTGTTATAATAAAGAAACTGATGCTATTAAAAAAAATCATATGAAACTTGGATCAGATTCTAAAATTTTTAATACATTCGATTATAATTTAAATTTAGAAGAAAGAAAAGCTAAATATGAAAAATATAATTTCGTTGTATGTGAAAATTGTAACAAAGAAATTAATAACCCCTATTATTTTTGTGCATATTGTTATGATAAAGAAACTGATACTATTAAAAAAAATCATATGAAATTTGGATCAGATTTTAAATTTTTTAATTTTTTCGATTATAATTTAAATTCAGAAGAAAGAAAAGCAAAATATGAAAAATATGATCTCGTTGTATGTGAAAAATGTAACAATGAAATTGATGAGCAATATTATAATTGTAATTATTGTTATAATAATCAAATGATAATTAATAGATGCAAAGTATGTTTTATAGGAAATAATGATGATTGTTGTTCATTTTATGAATTTAAGAAATTTTTGGAAAACCTTAGTGAATGGATTAATGAAAATAATGTATTTAAAACATCAAAAATTGGAATTTCAGATTATGATTTAGATGAAGAAGATAGACGAGAAAAATACAAGAACTTCGATTATATTTTATGTGAGAAGTGTAATAGAAAGTATCATTATAATTATTGTTATGAGTGTTTTGATGAAAAAATAAGAGAATTAAAAGAATTATCCCCTAAATTACAAGATTATGAAAATTTTTATCTCAAAGTATACAAAAAAGAAACGAAAGAATTAAGAGAATTAAAAGAATTACAATCTATTTTAATAGATTACAAAAATATTTATTTTGAATTAAATAGTAATTTAGGAATATTTAAACAAATTAGGAAAAAATTTGAAAACACAAAATATTATGTACTAGATAAGAAAATTCTTATAAATAATATAAGATATAATGGAGTACATAATTGTTGGCGTAAACTTCGTTCTTACTGCTGTGATTGTTATGATGGAGAAATTGATATTATTGAAAAAAAACGTATGGAATTTGGAAAATGTAAAGAATGTCTTAAGATACATGGGGATTCGGATGGTTGTTCATCCTGTAATCCTAAACATTTTCAAAGAGATTTTGATAAGTGGACCAGTAGGAATGAGATTATTGATAAGTTGATACAAGAAAATCAAAATATAGGCAGAAAATACGGATTATTAGAATGGATTTCATATGATAAATTTAAAAATATTAATTACATTGCTAAAGGAGGTTTTGCAAAAGTATATTCAGCTATATGGTTAGATGGGCCAATTAAAAAGTGGAGTCAATTGTCTAATTATTGGAAAAGAAATGAATCAACAAAAATTGCTTTAAAAGTATTGAATAATTCAAAAAATATAAGTGGAGATTTTCTAAATGAGGTACGTAAAATAGAATTTAAAAAATAAAATAATTATTTTTAATTTACAAATTTAATATTTAATTATATATTTATAGATAAAATTTCTTAACGAAGTTAGTGGTTATATGTGTATAATAAAATGTTTTGGAATTACTCAAGATCCTATTACTAACAATTATGCGTTAGTATTACAATATATGGAAAATGGCGATTTACGCAAATATCTTAAACGAACTGCTAATATGATTACATGGGATCAAAGACTAAATAAAATATATGATATCTGTCTTGCACTTAATAATATTCATGTTCACGGGTTAATTCATAAAGACCTTCACCCAGGAAATATTTTCATTGGTTCTACATTTGCATATATTGGAGATTTTGGATTTTGCATTCCAGCAAATGAAATTTTATCAAATTCTACCAAAAAGAATATTTATGGAGTAATGCCATATATGGCACCTGAAATATTACGTGGGAAACCACATACATTAGCATCTGATGTTTATTCATTAGGTGTGATCATAAATGAAATAATTACAGTAATTCCTCCATTCAATAATCAACCACATGATCATTTTCTCGCACTGGATATTTGTCGAGGTTTACGTCCAAATATTAGAGAAGAAACTCCAACTTCTTTAAAAGAATTAATTAAAAAATGTTGGGATGCAAATCCAGAAAACCGACCAACTTCTGAAGAAGTATTTCATACATTATCATATCATTTAAATGCATACAAAAGTATGCCATTAAAAAGATTATCATATAATTTACAAGTAAATGAAACACGTCCAAGATTATCGTATAAACTTAATGAATCAACCAACAATTTATTATTAAAAATACAAATAGACGAAAAACATCCCAAGGCTATTTATACAGGTCGGCTTCTCAATTTTCAAAATTTACCGGAACCTATTAATTGCACAAATCAACAAGAATTTATTTCTTCGAGATATACCAGGAGAATACGAACAGGTAAATTTTTTATTATATATTACTCTTATCTGATTAGTAAAATAAAGTTAAATAAAAAATTTACATATTATAGGACAAGTTAACACCTTTCATTCTGATAAATGTTCTGATTGTATTATTATGGATATTGATTGAACTCGGTTTTTATTATGATTATTACAATAAGATTATAGTCACAAATATTCAATTGAACTGTATATGATATAAAATTAATATTCAAATGTATAAAACACTTTTTTTTTTTATTATTTTATAAATTGAAATATATTAAAATATCACTTTTTATTATGTTAAATTCTTTCTGTCTCTGATTTTCCAGACTTTCCAAAGTATATTTGATAAAGATTAAAGATCACATTCACTATCTAAATTCATTTAGAAAAATGATAGCGGATAATACAAGATAGAATTATAAATTCGAGTTTTAATCAATTTAGAAATCGATTTTAAATAGGTTAATTGCTTATGACTACTGAATCGTCGGGATAATTTCTTTATATTATTTTGTTACTTTTTAACTAAATGACATAACGAATCATAAAGCTTATGACAAAAGATTTTAAGATCTTCGACTAATATACATGTACATATTATTTTAAAACAAACAATCTGAATTTTAAGGAAACAATAATTCAATGTCGCTCATATCGATTTAATTTTAATCTAAATTTACTTTTATTACACGTTGATAACTTATGGGTTTTAAAATTATCCTTTTTATTTATGCTAATAAATAAATTTTTAATTAAAATAGGAACATGGAACATTTTATTATACATATACAATTACGGCTCACTCACAATTATGCATTCAGTATGGGACTGATGATTTACGCGATTAAACAAATCGCTAATAATATAGGGATTGAAAAGAATTGGAAAATATGAGATGCAAAATCAGAAATCCAATTCTGAAGAAATTTTTTATACACTGACAATAAGCTTGGTGTTACACAATATTAGAACATTTGAGTTTATTTGACCAGTAAAAAGATACATTTTTTTTGTTCACGTTTAATCAGCAATTGCACCGAAGTTTATAATTATAAAAAAAAAAAATTTTTACTCTTTCAAACAAATAACAAAATATATTTTAAATAAATTTACATATTGTTGTATAATATTCTACAACAAATATTGTATAAACTTTTGTTGATTTGGACAATTGATGCATTATGATATTTTTTATATTTTTTTCATTCTGTCCCACCTACTGTTTTATGAAAATCCCTGCTTCCTTCCATCATGTAATTCACGTACCGTATGTCTCGTAAGTTCTCTTTTAGATGATCTTAATGTACGATTATATATTTAATTACTACAACTACAATACAGTTATGACTACGAGTACATGATATCACGTACTCCCACGTAGTCATAGATATCACGTAGTCATAGACTCATGTAAGCACAATACTCAAAGCGACTACAGTACAAACAATAAATTTTAATTTATTTTTACCTACAAAAATGTCACGAAAATCACGTGACTGTTTTGTCACATGCGCCACACCCTTCCTTGTTTCCATTTTTCATAAGTATCTGAGGGACTTTGAAATTTGAATTTTTTCGAGGTGTGAAATCCTATTTGTCACACATTATTTGTCACATAGTTTAATTTCTTAATCTCTTAATGCCGATCGTTTTGTGACATTTTTGTAGGGTACGCTGGTCTATGATTACGTAACTACGTAAGGTAAAGTAGTCGATTATATTTTTGTGCTCACGTACTCATGTAGTCATGAAAAAAAATATGATTACTTAGTTATGTAGTACGTAATGGTAAAGTAGTTACATGTACTCGTGATCAGAAGCACGTTGTAGTTGTAGTAAAAAGCTAATAACCGTTAATGTACTCATTACTGTACGTAACTCTTATTGTAATATTTACAAATTGTTAATTTTACATACCGTAGAATTTTTAATTTTTTAATAATTATATTGTTGCAAATGGCTCGCTTAGTAACTTTAAACCGATTTTTTAATAGCGAATTTTCAAATTATATTTAAAAATGTACATGTTAATGAAAATAACAAAAATTATAGATATTAAATTGCCAGCTTGTTATAATATAACGCGACTGACTATCCGTTCTCAAACCATAACAGGATGACTCAAAAAAAAGAAAAATTTTTTATCATCACGATGAATATTGAAAGCGAGGTATATCAAAACAAACCCAAATTCACTTTAATTAACAATGTAAATTGTTTTAAATCAACAATGGAAGTTAATATATAAAAGCGCGTCTAAATTTTGGGATTGTTATAAAAAGCACAGTTTATTGTGTCTTTTAACATAATATTATGTTTATAATTATTGTGAAGCTTCATTTTACGAGAAACATTATACAGCTACTTCACAATAGCAGCGGACACTATATTGAAGTTAGTTACGTTATACCTTTTATGATAATTTAAATTTTGTTAAATATATGAAACTTTTAATAATCGCAAATAAAATTAATGGAAAAGCAAATGCTGAATAATACAATATATACATACTTTCACGTGCAGTTAGTTGAATATAAACGATTTATGTCTAACTAAAATTGCTTATTATGCCTCAAGATGTAAAATAACCAGAAAATACGATATTTACAATACTTTTATTTTGCGGAATAGTATACATAAAAATTATATAAGGTCGAAACTCCTTTTACAATCTAATAAAATTTTAAAAGTTTTCATTTAAGCTATTTCAATCAAATAATCAAAATATCAAACAATCAAATATAACCTTTTTGAGCTATTTAGTTACCATTTTCTTTTTAGTATTTCGATTTTTTTTTCTTTTCTTTGATTTATTAAAATAATTTAAGTTTACAATTTTATTTAAACCAACATGGTTTTATACTTATGAATGCTTGCCCCATTGGACACGAAAGATCTAAAAGTTAGCCTACAATTGTTTCTCCTAAACGCAACGTAGCTTGATTCAAGTTGCAAATAATGAATTAGATATTAGAAATTTATCACTGCGCCAAAATATTTTACTTAATTATAAAAATTCCTTACTTTGAATTTAAGAAATCAATAAAATAATAAATATTATGATTCTCATAATGATTAAGTAATGCACTAATCAAAACATTTAATCATTATTTGATGCGACAATGATGCGAAAATGAAACAAATAAATAAATAAAACCGGATCTTTGGAAGTTGGAACATGCCTCAATTGCTTCATCTAACGTAAACTATTCTTAAACTAAATATAATGATTGTATTCGTATAATCGTATTAGATATACTGCAAAAAAAATATATTTTTTTTAACTGAAAATTCCTTATGTCATTAAGAATTTACCAGAAATAACTTTAAGTAATCATTCAATGGTTCGAAATTTGTAATGTTGAATCTGTTATCTCGTGTTCAAAAAGGTTGTTACAAGAAATTCTATAAAAATATAATCCATAATATACTGTCATTTTACACATACGAATCATATAGATAATTATCAATAGTAAAGTACTTCAGTATCTGTAAGCAAATTTCTCGTGTTATTAACTATTCGGTGATTAAATGATCACAGGCTTCTAGTACCAAGTTAATTGTGCTATTATCTCATAATATAAACAAATTTCCCGTATCATTAACTATTGAATAATTATTACTGTATATTCTTAAATACTAGACATTTCTTTGATTTAATTACATGAAATCAGAATAATCAATTCTAGCCCACACACATGCAAATTAGTAGTTTAAAGTGAGCGAAATTTTATTTTTTGTTTTTATTTTCTTCAAGCAAGTAATAAATGAATGTAATAAAAATGATAGAGTAACGAGCAATGAACATTTAAAAGGAAGAATTAGCCGGCCCCTATAATCGTCTTGGAAAGTTCTCTGAATGATAAATTTCAAGCACTCCCCGATCTTGATTAATGTATTGCTCTTTGAATCTTCTATTTATCTAAGAGAAATAGTTCTCACCTCAAGGTCATGAATTTTAAGTAATACCATATTACGGATTCTAGTAATTAAAAGACATGAAATATTTTTGTTCTACCAGAACGGAAAAAAAGGTGATTAAGAATATGTATGCAAAAAAAAACAATATAATTGATGTGTACTTCCATTAATAGTTTGATTAGAATGATTAGTTTGATTTATTGATTTGAAAGTTTAATTATTTATTTTTTTCTGTAATACGAAATAAATCACATAATTCATTCACTATTCATTCCTTTATACGTTTTGCAGTTTCACGCTTATAAAATACATAGTGTAATTGCTTTGAAATATAGATCCGTAAACCATTCATAATAATCGTAATTCATCATAGAATTTTTTGTACGTTTTTTACTCTTTTATTTCACATATTTGAATCATAGATGTTCTTGCTTGAAAAGATGTATCGATTCACGTGGTTACAAAATCATTAACAAAAATAAATCAACCATCGAGTATTTGTTCATTATAATATAAACGTTAAAAAATATTTTCACTTAATGAAATCGTTTTTTTAAAATCTAAAAAAGAACTTTTTATTTCTCTTTGTTTAAAAATTCAAAATCTTAAAAAAATTAAATTATTATAATCCATCAAAAAAATTATAAGTAATAATAACAATCATTTTATAAAGAACATTATTTCTTTACTCTAAGAATTAACTTCTTGATTTTCATCATCTTTTCCCAAAAAATAAATTACGCTTAATCTAATCCAAGAATATATTACACCAAAAGCACAATATATAGATGTTGATAATAAAGGTAAGAAAGGATATTTTCCATCTTTGTAAATAATTTGATGTACTATTCCCGTAAAAAATTGTAATATAATAAATCCATACATATATATATTTTCTATTATTTTAATTAAATATGATAATTTTGATTCATTACTTTGAGAATATTTCTTAATATTGTTTCTAAAATTTAAATTATAGAAAGGACGAAATATATATACGGCTTATAATTAGTATTAAAAAAAAATAATAATAAAGATCTTAAGATGAAATATAATTACCTTTTATAATTTAAATTAGATAAAATTCCCATAAAAGTTAAGATGAACCATAATAAACAAATCACTATTTTGATGGTAGATTCTAAAAAAGTATATATATAATTTTATTTAGATGAATTATTCAAAATAATATGGTAGTATAAATAAAATAAATGCTTAACCTGTTAATTTGAATAAAAGCGGAAATAAAGAATATAATCCAGATACTGCAAGTATCATATAAGAACGGAAAAGCGCAATATTATCTGCTGATATCAAACTGAAATATATATATATATTTATTTATTACTAAATATGTTAAATCGCCAAACAGAAACAATGAAAATATAATTTTACCTAAAAGGAATCATAACTAATAAGATTGCTTTTTCGTGAACATGCCATCCAAATAGAAAAGAAGAATATCCGTTCAATATTAATGATACGAGAAAATTTTTGTAACTTGGACGCTTCCACAATTTAACAAGAGATGCCTATTTAAAAAAAAAATGTTCATCAGATCTTAAAATTTACCGAGATTCAAGACTTACAAAATTTTCTTACCATTTGAAATATCAAAGTAAGAATGAATGTGTGATTTGCTTTAACTTGCGGTAATAATGCGAAATTAACATCTCCAACTAATCCTCTTGTAATTGAACCAATTGCTGATTCATTTAACGTCCATCCGAGACGTTTTGCAACTATATAATGAGAATTAGCAAATTAAATATTCATTACGTAAACGTATTATATTATATAAATAATGTATTTACAAACGATCAGCACTCGATCCATCGCGGAATACAAAGCCCAAAAATTCGGTGCCCAGTACGCATGACAAAGCCCCCTTTTAAAAGGAAATAAACGAGAAAGAACTTGTCCCAATTGTCCCATAATAATAAAAGGTCCAAATGAAAGTAAAAATATTATAATGACAGAAACACCAAGAAAAAAAAAATGTTTTAACGAAAACTTTTTGGTGCCTAAATAATGAATGAAACGAATCAATTCATTTTCAATGATTAAACAATATGATGATGATCTCTGTAGAATAAAATAATTTATTGTATAAATACCTTGTATTGAGGTTTCTTGAAAACAATAATGTCTCAATAGATATACGAAATACGCAGGGGCAAGGTAAAGAAAAATGTGTTTAAAATTAAGCAAAACAGCAAACATTATTCCGCACATAAGATCATTTCCCTTAAATATAAAGATATGGAAAGATCAGAATAAATATAAAAGAAAAAAAAAATCTCACATTGATGATTTTAATAGCTCAAATCACAATGATTTTTTTAAATATAAATATAATTTTCACCTCTTTTGCATACGCCAATGAGAGCAAAAATATTCCATAAAGAAATCCATTATATTGAAAATGAATATGTAATTGACATCAACCCATCAACAAGAATTAAAAATAATAAGTAAATAAAATAAAATCAATAAATCATCAGCTTGTGAAAATAAAAACAAAAGGATATGATCAACAATCAAAATTCCAGGATTCAGAAAAATCGATGCAGCTAATATATTTAATAAATTTTTATTTTTCATATTATTTGTTGTCAAGTATCTATTTATAAATATTTGTTAAATTGAAAATACATAGTTTATTATTATTAAATTCACGATATAAAAAAAAAATTGACTTACTTTTTCAATGCATAAAATAGTACTAATTCGCTAATAATTACTGTCGCTCGTTGAAAATAAATTGTTGCATCACTTGTATAATTTAAATTATCCACTCTAAGCATTTCTTTGTCGGCTAATGGCGCGAATTGTGATAAGATCCATTCGAACCATGCAAAAAATGGAGGATAATCTAATGTCCATTCACTCCTATCCTCATAATACCATTTCGATATTGGTAAGCTATGTGTAATAGCAAGCCAATTCCGATGAACTTCAAAATCTGTTGAACGACTTGTAAATAAAATAAACAAATTAAAGTGAAAACCATAAAAGTTCACAATTTAATTTAATTTAGCTTACTATGTAGGAAATAATAATAACTTAACAAATGTACTAAAAATTATCAAATCTTTTAGCATAGTTATAATTAAGAAATAGATAAAGTTCTGTCAAGTGTCAACACTTAAATTGATATACATGCATTTGGCAATCTATATTTGGAATCAATATAAACTTTTTAGGACATAAAAATTAATTAACCAAAAGTTTTCAAATTAACATATTTATTTGAATCATTTAATGTACTGTACAAAAAATTTGATACACAATTAATTTAATATAATGTACATTATACTTAGATTTATTTTTTGCAGTGTATCAAATAATGTGACATATAGTTTTTTTTTTTTTACAAAAGTTCCAAATAAGCATATTAACTAGCGTACTAAGCCTAACCTAACCTAAACTCTGCAAACCAACGTTTTATGCAGAATGCGTAAAAATAAAAATTCTCCATATTTTAAAATCAATATAATTAAACGGACCTTCAATCCTCTCTAAATACAACTATAAGCAAATTCGGTACTCAATATTAATACTTAATTATTAACATATGATAAAAGTTCAATTAAATTAAATTGTCTAAAAATGAATATTAAAGAAAGATTAACGACAAAATTATTTAAATTATTTTTTACCTTACTGAAACAATCAAAGTTAGTTTTTTAGGCTATTTTCATCCTCTTTATCTCCATGATATCCGGAATCCTCTTCGGAATCCTTACTTTTGATCTTTGTAGTTCTATTTAGTTCTGAGAAAGGTGTAGTTCTAGATAACCATGTTAGTGCTTCAACTCGATGATGTTCTCCTGAAGGTGCTCTACTTCTAGGCCTTGAACTTGATCCACTAGCCCATGAACTTGTTCTACTACGACCTGACGTGCTTCCATTATTTTTCTCTAAAAAGTAAATTGCATCATCAAATTCTGATGTTTCTCCTTGACGTTCCCAATTAAATACCCTATCATCTAGCCAGTCTATTGGTGATTGGAATAAACTCTTAGAAGATGTAGGTATTGCGGTACGTTCTACTGTCTGAGCTATTCTTTCAGCATCAAAATCGTGATAAATTTGTGGTGCCAACTCATTGATAAGACTAGTAATATCGGTTGACAGTTGTTCACGAACTGTGCGTAAATTTTTAATAGAAGATTTGGCCCATGGAAGTAATGACAGAAAAAGTGGACGAATTGATCTAAGTATAATATCAATAAGTATTATTTCCTTTTGTTTAAAAGTACCAAATTAGGTACATTATATATAAGAATATTACCAATCTTACTTGTAAATATCAATTCCGCTCTCATACAATCTAATCGTTACATAACTTCCCGTAACTAAAGTGCAAAAAGTCGATATAGGAGCAAAAACTTTCCATTTTAATATCCATTTTTTTTTAAATGAAATGAGCACTACAATGAATGTATAGAAGCCATAAAGGGTTGGTGTAACAACAAGAGCAACTAGTAATTTCCACGTCGCAAGCACATCACGTCCGGCCACTTTGACTGACGATCCACGAACAGCTTCTGTTCAGTTATAAAATATAATTAGTACATAAAATAAATAAATAAATTTAATTTATTAACATAAAAAAAAAACCTTTGGCCTTTTTTGCGCTAATTTTACGCGCAATTATTACGAGTGGTAGGTTTAGAATAAACCTAAGTAAATATAAACATTAATATAACAAACTAGATTGTTAAATGAAATTTAGGTAAAAAATTTCATTTACCCTGGCAAACCTAAAATACCCCATGTTGCTAATAGCATCACTCGATAAAACAATAATCCGGCAGCTCTAGTACCTCCCATAGATAACTTATTAACTTGATGATCCTTTAATCCATGATATTTTAATAGCCTATTATATTCCATAACCCTTTTTCGCATTTCCTGAACTCTCGAGTCATCCTTAAAATGCTCATATCCGGCCACAAATCGCCGATTTAATTCAACAATTTGAGAAATCGGAAGCCTCCTATGAGCTGGCTTATATAACCGACGTCCAGCTTGTATGAACTAAAAATAAATATAATAAAAAATTACGCTTTGAAGTATCTAGCAGAAAGTTGAAAATAATAAACCAACCATTAGTGTCTCGTAATCTGGAGTATTAACAGTCACAGCTTTTAAACAGTTGTAAATTATTTCCAATAGTTTAGAACAAGCTTCTCTTTTTGATGAGCCACCTTCCTTAAATTTCTCTACTAAATCAGGTGTAATAGAAATTGGAGTTCCAAATTCTATAACAGCACGTGATCTAAAATGATGGGCATGAAAATAATTCAAACCTATAAAAAAAAAATTAGATATAGCCTACTTTGAAGATAACAAACAGAAGAATCTCTATAATAATTAATTACCACACGGAACTATTTTGACATTCAGATCAGGATTCATAGCAATAGCTCCTAAAGCCATTATTGTGACGCCAGCTAAAATAAAAAAAAAAATTTTTTTTATAAATATTTTTAATACAAAAGATTAGAAACCCATTTTTGGACAATACCTTTAAGGGGTAAGATTTCTGTGCGGTCATGACTGCCACCCTCTGGAAATATTCCAATGCAATGACCAGCTTTCAAAGTATCAAAAACAATTCTATACACTTGACTCTGATCAATATGCGGTATACACTTATAAGATGTTCCTTCTGGATCTGTAAGCATGTCTAAAGCATTTGGATCTTTGAATTCTTTTTTTATAATCAATTCGGTGTCCGAAATTATCTCTTTCACTTCAGATGAACCGTAATCCATAGGAAGGGCGATTTGTGAACCAATTGTCAATTGCTGTGTAAACGCAGTTTCGATGCCAGTGATTCGAGTTGGATCAGTTTTGCGATTGAGAAGTTGGATTCGTCCTATTCCAGGTTTAGCTAAATCTTGAGGTCTTGTGACTGGAACTAGAAATATATAATATTTAAATTAAATTCATTACAAAAATGTTTTTTTTCGATCTCTAACTTACTTGCATGAACAGCGCGAGCCATTCTTCCTATGTATCGACGGTGCATCGATTTTTCTGCAATCAAGAATGAAACGCGCCGTTGGCAATCCCTCATCAAGATTAATGGATCAACAAACTAATAAAAAATAATTAAAGTTAATATGGAACAAAATAGGGTATTCGATAGGTAGTTAAAAGAATCGATCTAACAGATATAACATTTCTTCCCAACTACGAATTCCGTACGAACCCACCCACGTACTATTATTTTATTAAGAACTTCTTTGGCGAGTGATTTGAATCCTTTACGTTCTAATGTAGTTGAAAGATTATATCAAATTCGATTTTATGCCTTTACCTGATTTGCGTGAGGCGCGGCAACAAATATTACTGGTCCCTCCTTCGGTATTTTATGTGATCCACGAGGGCTTATTTCACGGAAGAAAATGTCTAACACTACGTTAAAGAAACTGGCAGCGATATCATAACTCTGAAGAGGCATTTTCAATTTTCCGGTCAGAATAATTTTTCTAAAAATTTGTACTGTTCAGGAAAAAATATTTGCAAATGATATTAAATTATATTTTATGAAATTCAAATTTTTATATCAAAAGAAACGTTTATTTAATTAAATAAATATTGGAATTTTTTTTTTTTTTAAAAAAAAAGACAAATCTAGATTTATTTATACTTTTTTATTTAGTAACCTTTTTAGTATCGTGAGAAAATTAGAATTGGGAATCTGTAGTACTACAATACTACAACTTAATCAGTTAACAAGTTGATTTCGTATTTTGTTTATGGTAACTTCCAACAGTTTTGAAAATCTTTGCCGCTTGTGCCGCTTGAAAGGTTGGGGAGACGCGTGATCGCGGCGCATTAACGTCATAATTTTCGTAAATGCATTATTTAGATTAAGTTATATAAACAACCATGTGACATTTATGACGTAAACGAAATAAAGTTGTATGTCTGCGAAAATTTCACACATTCAAAAAGTTCATGTTTCAAATAAATACACTGTCTCCTGGTAATAATACTTTTAGAACTAATCACACCATGAATACAACGTGGGAACAAGTTCGTCGGGAAGTCAGAGAATACCGAAGTTCTGCACAGCCGTCCAACGTTATAAATATTAAAGATTTTTGTTTTGACGAAAGAAATAATCGCGCATACTTTCTAGCAACGGATCCTTCCCGAATGAAAACCTCAACTTTATTTGTAGTTGATTTGCCCCAGTATGATAGTAGGGATCAGTTAATCGAAACTGGAATAACGGGGGACACTCAAGGTTCTCAAAATGGGACTGCCAATCCTGATTGTAATTATCCCTTCAGTTTTTCTAATAATGAATTTCAGGTGAAAGGTAGGTTCTTTTTTTAAACTTTTATTTGTAGATTTCTTTATTCTTATTTTGCATAACAGGAATGCGAGAAATGAGTAGCCAAATAATTAACCAATACGAAGTGACCTGACTTTGATAGTTATAGTTTAGTTTGCTGATTTTACATCATTTTTGGAAAATTTTATCATATAAACATAATCTGAAATTATTTATATTTATTCATTTCCATATTATTTTGTAGAATTTTCCTATACTTTTTGTCCATCTACTTCCAACAATACATCTTCACTCTCACCATCTATCAAATTATCAGATTCGGATGGTTTTAATATGAACAAAATGTTTTCTACTTCATATCCAAAAAATCCAAAGACTTCGAATAATTTAAATGCGTTATCAAAGATTCCAGTTGTAGAATGGAAACCTCTACTTCCAGAATCATGGTTGAAAGAAAAGTCTGTTTCAGAGACTTTATCGCGCGAAGAATTGTTTGTTAAAGAACGGAGAAGATTAGCCTTACAGGGTATAACGAGCTATCAATTCGACTCACATAGTGGACAAATTTTATTCAGTTATGGAAGCGGAATTTATTTGGGACATGTTGCCAAGGTTTAATTTGTATTTACAATTAATATTACATCATCCACTATCAATTATTAAATTCTATGACTTTTTTAATTCGCGTGTATATTTTTTAGAATGGAGAATTTTATCCACGTCCTATAACACCTTACTCTTCAGGGCCAATAATATATTCAGGCAGCATTTTAGGTTATCCTTTAAATCATTCACCTCAACACAATAATATATCACCTATTTCATCTCCTTCAACTACCGCTTCATCTTCTCCATCACCTTCACCATGTTGTTCGTCACCAATAAATTCCGTACCACCACGATTAGATCCAAAATTAGGTGGCCGCAATCATAACTTAGTCGCCTTTATTCGAGATCGAGATATATGGGTGACTACGTCCAACGGTTGCGAGACTCAATTGACATTTTGCAATGACCATGATCGCGATGGTACAGCAGCGTTAAGCTGTGGGGTTGCAGAATTTGTTATGCAGGTAAAACGGAAAATTTTGATTTCAGAAATTATATATCTGTTCTACAGATCAAACGAAAACTTAGGATTTTATTGTGTTTTTTTCGTATGTCCATCAAAGGAAGAATTCCACCGATTTACGGGTTATTATTGGGCACCACCTTCGTTATCAAATTGTATGAAAGATCAACTTGAGCGTATTTTATACTTGCAAATTTCGGAATCAATGGTCGATTTAGTGTTAATATCAAGACCAGGTCCACAAGGAGAAGTAGAAGAATATAGATATCCAAAAGCTGGTACCTTATTATAATTTGATATTCAAAATTGTATACATATATATGACTTTTTATAATCTTTGGAATTTTAATTAGGTACACCAAATGCTGTGAGTGATTTACAGATTGTAGAGTTTATTCCTCGATATCATGAAGAGGAGGTAAATAAGAATGAATATATTTATTCAATAATTTTGAAGTCATTTTTTCTTTTTAAGTGTCAATCATTTGACACGACCGATCTTTAAAGGATTCTTATGAACCCGTTCATAAAAGACTTTGGGGTAATGCTGCCTTGGATAAACTCTTTCCTTGGATGGAGTATATCGTACGGTTTGGGTGGTGTCCAAATGGCAAAAGGTATTAGCATTATTAATTTTTTCTTTTTTTTAAAATTTCCTACTAAGCATTTTTGTAAATGTACGTTTATTTACCAATAAATTATAAATATATTATACGTAAAAAGTGTGTGGGTGCAATTGCTTGACAGACTACAGAAACGAACAGCAATTGTAAAAATACCTATTTGCAATTTTATGAGTATAACGGAGTATCAACAGACATGTGGACAATATGACGATTTATGTGTATCAAGAATAGAAGTTGTATATGAAGAAAGAAGTGATGTTTGGATAAATGTAGGTAACTCAATTCTTTATTTAAAAATTTATATTTAACAAAAAATAATTTTTTATTAAATATTAATAATATAATTTGAATAAATGGTTGTTAGGTCACAGATATATACTATTATTTCAATGTTGATGATGATTTTGATAATCAAAGATCTGGGGTACACCTTGCTTCACCTTCTTCAATGACTTATACACTTCAAACACCTTTATTACCCACTAAACTTTTTATAACTTCTGAAAGTAGTGGGTTTCGTCATCTTTATCTTGTGGTGAAACCTTCTGCTTCCTCACCAAATTATCATATTAGAGCAATTACAGCTGGAAATTGGCCTATTGTAGACAGACCAATATATGTTGATACAAAAAGACAATTAGTTTATTTTACCGCAAAGAAAGATACACCATTAGAGACGCATTTATACGTCGCTAGTTATTCTGAAGGTGCGGATCCTTTGACGGTAGTACGATTAACAGAATTAGGATATAGTCATACAGTAGTAATGGATGAAAAATGTGAAAGATATTTAGATTGGTTTTCTAGTGTTAGTGAGAAACCACGATGTAGTGTACGATATTTAGTATGGAATGAGAGAAATATTTTTCCTAGTGTTAGTGAGACGATGGGTCTATTTGTAAAAGGTGGTAAAGAAGACGATGAGAAGGAATGGGACGATAAGAAACTTTCAAAAAAAGTTCCTATAGGAGAATTTTTTGATTTTATAAATAATGACGGTGTAAAAATATATGGGTGTATTTACCGGCCGGAAAATTACGTCTCTGGAAAAAAATATCCCACACTTTTAAGCATTTATGGCGGTCCAAAATCTCAGGTTAATTGAAAATTTTGTTTACCGTGTTTAATTTTTAATATATTTATATTATTATTTTTTTTTTTTTGGTCAACTCTTAATTCAGATGGTGACTAATGATTATAAGTACCCGCGATTTCTTCGATTGTTCCTCGCAACACGACTTGGATTTACGGTAGTTTTAATTGATGGTCGTGGTTCTTCAGATAGGGGTGTAACGTTTGAGTCTTATCTTAAAGGTCGTATGGGTACTGTTGAACTTGAGGATCAGATTGCAGGACTTAATTACTTAGCATCTAAAAAAATGGGAGTTGATCTAGAAAGAGTAGCCATTACCGGATGGAGTTATGGAGGATATTTAAGTCTAATGGCGTTAGCTCAATATCCACGCATATTTAAATTAGCCATCGCTGGAGCACCCGTAACGCAATGGGAACTTTACGACACAGCTTACACTGAACGTTATATGGGGCTTCCGTCGGAAAATCAGGAAGGGTACCGTAAAGGAAGTGTTCTTAATTGGGCTGACAAATTTCCCGATAAGTATGTTTATGATTGAATTGTAACTTTTTTTTAGTTTTATTAATGTTTCATGTACCTCGACTTGTTTAGTGAAAATCGGCTATTAATTGCCCATGGGCAAATTGATGAAAACGTTCATTTCAAAAATTCCGAATTGTTAGTGTCTGCGTTGGTTAAACAAAACAAACCACATAAATTACAACCATATCCGACGGAAAGACACGGTCTAAGACATGCTAATGTAGCCGAACATTTTGAAACTTTAATGTTTTTTTGGCTAGTGAATTATCTATAACGGTTAAAGCCTGAATTATCTTTTGAGGTTTTTTTTTGATGTAATATAATAGTTTTTCAAAAGATTTTTAATCATCAATTTTGAATTATGAAGAAGGGTGGATGTATTGGAAGAAACAATTAAATTAATTAAATTAAATTAAAAATGGACTTATTTATTAATATCGCTGAAATGGCATTTTTTTTAAAAAAAATAATGAATGTTTAAAGTATCGTCATTTTTAAGAACAAGAATAATTTATTACAAACATATCTATTGTTATTTTGTATATTATATTTTTAGATTGTAATATATGTAAAACTTTTAAACAAATCAATCATATCGGTGATATCATCACATTATGTTATAGTATTAGATAGGCTTTATATTAAATTGAATTTTACGAACTCTATAACTAATTGAATGACGCATCACATTTTCCCTTTTGGTGGTTTTGCCTTAAGATTATTCAATAAAATTTCCAGAAGTTCTAAAAATTTGTTGATTCCAACATAATACTAGCCATCTAGCATATGTGTTATTTAAATAACCCATAAAGGAATCCTTGGTAATTTCATCCGTTCACGTTCGCACCGTCCCAAGTTGGGGATGAAATAGTATGTCACAAAAATTCACAAAATTCAATGACTTCCCGAAGATGATACTATTGATTTTCGTAACAGGAAACAATCCAGTACCGTGCTTGCTGGACAAAATTATTCAGATCACCTTTATGAAAGAATTTGATATAATTTTCAATCGCCAAGCCAATTCTAGTAGAGAATATCGAATTCTAATCATTTTGATTCTCTGAGAATTGTTGTGTATTTCACAGTAATAGATCTTAATGCTCGTGCTCGTGGTATAGTTAAATCAATACAAATTCACTAAAAAAGTTTGCACCAGACCATAAAAACCTTTTTTATTGCTTTTGTATTACAGGTGTAATATCATAACTATTATTCTGAATAGTAAATAATCTACTATTATGCAGTGAATGTTATGTCGAGTTATATCGAATATTAATTCAAAGAATTCAAGACATTGAAAGTGAGATTCTTAACTAATTGGATAATTATCTCATCAGCAAAATCTTCCTTTCCTAATAGTCATCAAATTTATATTTGGACTTAAAATTGTTATTCTGATTTCCTTTAGTGAAACTCTAAAACAATAGGAAAATAAATAAGTATAATCATTTGACAGCAGGTAGCACTTGAATTATATCAAACATACAGTACCTGTATTTTATTCACCTCCAGAACGTTCAACATTCTGGTCACCTTGCTCCTATGAATTTTTTATTTCAAATGGATTTCTATTTTCAAATTCTTCAAGAGACCTCATTTTTTGTTGAACATCGTCATGTTAAGATCAATGAAAGAGCTCACGTGTAATTGCTCTTGCGCCACAAATGTGCAGTCTCCTGTTTTATATACTAATGAATATTCCAAGAAGTACTACATAACGTGGGAATGTGAAATTGAATGAAAGCTTTTGAATTTATAAAAAAATGATAAAGCTAGTATAAAGCTGGAATAATAACGGTCATTATGATTCAGTTATTTTACTAAATAATTGATTTCAAAAACAAGCAATTAATTATTGATTTTAAATTCTATCTCGGATGTCGACCTAACATTGTTTTAATTTATATATAATGAATCTCAAATAAACAAAAAAAAAAGCAAACTTTTAGTAGGAGAATAGTAGAGAAATGGGCGCTTTGGGAAAAATCCATCCCGATGACCATTTGGATGTCATCTTGGATATCATTTTTTCATATAGCGTAAACTCATTGCAATTATACTTGTAAACTTAAGAAAATAAATTTGTATTCTTGTTTATTATTCGCTCTGAAATCGTTTGCTTTCTATTTGTAAAAAAAAATTCGCTTTTGGAACAAAAATCCCGTTCACATTTTGGTTACTTCCTAGATAACATTTAATTTTAGCGTCTAGCCTCCAACCTACATGCGACCGGGATGGGTTGACGGCACAAATTGTACATAAGCAAATCGGAATTACATACTTGGATTACATGTGATTATTTACAAAATCACTACTTCTTCCGTATCCGCCTCTTGTTCAAGATATTTCCCCGCATTATGTTTTTTTCATATAACGCTCAACTTTTTCTCCCAAGTAGTTCATCATAAATGCTTGCACTAAGATCTTTGATGAGTCCTTTTCGAAACTCGTTTAGATCAAATCCTGGAGAAATAGATGTCTTACATAAATTTTCACCTACATCACCTACATCACCAGAATATATAATAAGTTATTAATAAATATTCCCAAACCATATTACAATATTATGGTTACTTAATCTTACTACTAAGCTTCATCTCTAACCCACATTCATTGAAGTCTTGCTTATTCATTATGATGAAGTCACGACCGGCAATTTCTTATTCGCGTAATATTTCAAAATGTTTTCCTTCAACAATAAGACATCTTGTTTCGTAAAAAGTCAATTAACTCTCCGATGTCTTCCCTTTCAACTTCCTCTTCAGTAAAAGACTGCGACGTGTGTTGTTCGTTACTGCCTGATGATGTTTAATTGAAATAGGCCCCATAGGAACAATTAATAAGTGCATGTTAATTCATATATTATCCGATAAATTTTTACCATGATCAATTGTTTCCTGATTTTCGTCTTTAACTTCACCAACGTTTCATAATTCATCGTCTGGAGAATGAAATTTATCGGACTTCCGCTTCACTATTATTTAATACAATTGGAAGTTTAACATACATGGAAATTCGGTAGCCACTGCTCCGGTTGCTGCACGGATGCCAGTAGTTAAGACCTCACACTAATAGCATTTAATTAGAGGAAAGATTACACGACTTACATTCAGATCTTTATATACAATTAAAATCAAAGGCATTTCATACCTTATTAACTCGATTTTCGATGGCCATCTTTCCGAGTTTTGTGGAATATGTTTGCCATAAATCGATATTTACCTGGTCTTTTTTAGAGTTCTTTGAAAGAAAGAAATATATTAAATACTATAAGTCATCTTATCATAATTGTTGAATAGTTGACAGATTGTAATATTGGCAGATCGTAATTCATGCAAAAAGAATTCTGCCATCCGTCCAAATAACATGTGGCAAGGTCACTCAATCGCATGGCAGGACTCGTTTATCAACAGAACTATTAAGTATAATGTAATGCTACAGTTGTAATTCAGGCAAAAAAAGCATTTCTGCCATCCGTCCACTTCAAGCAAAATAACATTTTGCCGTGTGCGACAAGGTCGCTCAATCGCATTGCAGGACTCGTTATAATCAAAACTATCAAGCGTAATGTAATGCTACAGCTAGAACAGAGAAAAAAATACTACTCTTAAAGATGTTCTCAATTCTCCCGCTTTGTAATATTCTCGGCTTTTGGTGGAAGTATTTCAAAAATAGCAGCTAGTTCAGAACCAAGAGTTTGATGCGCTTGCGCCTTTGAAATTCCAGGAATTCTGTTAATAATAATCCCAATCGCTCACGCTTCCCCACAGGGATGGATCGCAATCTATATATATATAGAAACTTAAGTTTCTTCGGTAATTATAATTATAAAAAGACTGAAATTCGTAAGTTTACCTGAATGAAGAAGAGTTTTAAGGTTTTCAGAGCTGAGGATTGCCGTGTTTTTTCGAAATATTTGAGAAAAAAGTTTAGACGCGTTTACAATGGCGAGACTGATCTAATCATGATCACGTGCCGTCAATCGTCACTAGCGACACAATTACCACAGTGAGTAAATTCCGTGTCAACAAGTTCTAGCTCCTATCAATTAGGGATGTGTTGTGTTGATTTTGCATTTTGCAATAATTTAATATGGAGTTATATAATTTCAAAAAAAACTGTATTTAAAAAAAATTAAAGGAAACTACTGTATAGTCACATGATAGCCACATACTAAGGTTGCTAATGCCTATGCCTTCACTTATTGGTAGTTTCAGAAAAAAAATATAATAATCATTTCAAGACAAATGAGACGTACATTTATTATTGATCTATGCATGTTATGGGATCTCTTTCTCTTCCTCATCCCATATATTGTAATAGCTAGGGTTAATTCTATGTGAAGACCTAGATTTTTCGCTAACTGCAAGTCATATAAGTGTAGTGTCATGTAGTGTTATAGCTGTGTTGTCCTCCTATGAAAGAATGACAAATTCCGTACATTATATTATTGCCAGTGAATGTTCTAAATTCTTTTGGCCCTATTGGCCAATATTCACTACAATGAACTAAAATGAACAAATAATATTCATTGAAATCTAATTCGGTTGCAATTCCTTCATATAGCTCAGCCCATACTAAACCTCCATGTAGGTCGGTTTAATCCAATAATCTTCTTCATGAGATAAGTCTTCTGCTTTTCTAGGGGCTCTAGTAACATCTTGAAAAAAACGCAAACTCTACCAATATGGTATGCAAATTGGGAGGCCTTCACTCTGCAACATTACTATCCTATTTACCTTAATAGAGATGGGTAGCATATACTATAAGTTGAGAAAAATTGCATCCACATTCACATCGCCCTAAAGGGCTTATGTTCATGTCCTGCTATTTTCCCCTCCTGTCGAATGCACATTCATCGCCGCTCTAAAGAGCTCCTCGCTCATGCTTATTCTCCGGTATTGAACGCGCATTCGTCGGTATCACCCTAAAGGGCTCTGCCTCCTCATGCTTGTTCTCTCTTGCTATCTATATAGTATGCTATATGAGAGGCTTTTTTGAAGAAGATATGTTTCAGATATAGCCTCATATATGCATGCTATTGGTATAGATTGCCTTTTATGTTATGCACTAGTAGCAAAAAAGCCCCAAGGTTTTCTTATAACAGCTTACCCTTTTTTCACAATCCCATACTTAAGAGACTAGATACTGGATGGTATACAATTTTGTGCCGTCCACGGTCCACCCATCCGGTCACCAAGTTTGGACATATGTTGGGTACCTTTTATTGCATGTAGGTTGGAGGCTAGATGCTAAAAATAAATGTTATCTGGAAGTAACCAAAATGCGAACGGGATATATTGTTCCAAAGGCGAATTTTTTTTACAAATAGAAAGCAAACGATTTCAGAGCGAATAATAAACAAGAATACAAATTTATTTTCTTAAGTTTACAAGTATAATTGCAATGAGTTTACACTATATGAAAAAATGATATCCAAGCGTAACAATAAGTGCAATAAAGATCTCGTTCATTAAATTCATTATTACATTTTTCACATAAAATGGTATACTCATATGCGTTAAACATATATTTTGCTCTTCTTTCTTTTAAATTTAAATTGTAATCTGATGTATTGAAAATTTCAAAAGTTGATCCTAGCGTTTTTTTATTAATATCAGTTTCTTCTTTGTAAAATCCTGTACAATAAAAATAGTATTTATCAATTTCTTGATTACATTCTTCACATAAAATGGCGCAATAACCCTTATATTTTGCTCTTATTCTTCTAAATTTAGATCGTAATCTGATGTATTAAAAATTCCAATTTTTGATCCATACTTTCATACAACCCTTTTTATTAACATCAATTTCCAATATGTGACCATTTTATTAATTAATAGATTACATTCTTTACATGAGATGTAATTATAACCCATATATTTTGCCCTTCTTTCTCTTAAATTTAAATCATAATCTGATGTCTCAAAAATTTTGTAAGTCGAACAAACATGAGAAGTATTTGACTTAAAACATATTTTTACATATTCCATAATTCATACGATTGAGTTCATTACAATCAGTTTCCTTATTATAGCAATTATAACACAAAAAACTAAAAAACTAAACTTTTACACTTCTTGATTTACAATCTTCACATATGACGTGATCATATTTCTTAAATTTCATTATTCTTTCGTCCAAATTTAAATCATAATCTGAAAACTTAAATACTCCAAATTTTGACATCATCATATTTGTTAATATTTTTTTTGCTTAAATTAAAAGATATTCTCTTCTATCGACATTGTTTTCAGTTCGCAATTAGTAAATTGGTAAAATTGTTCATTATAAATCACCCTTTATTCAAAAATTTAGGCGTGAACCATTAAAAATAAAAAAAATTGAAGAATATTCTTTTTGGAATATTCTTCTTCCATATTTATTATACCTTTTGGATGACCTTATTGCGAGTTGTTGCATATTATTTATTCGTGCAACGATCATATTTAATAGATAGCTTATTTATAACGCTTTTATTACTTTTAAATGTTTTTACGATAGTATATTAGAATATTTAATCACCTTATTTTAAAAAGAAAGTTCTTGATTATTAACATGGTACAATTTCCATTAGAATTTAAAGTTTTCTTGGGCGATAATAATATTTATACGGTCAGAATAGGTCAGAATATGTGATTAATTATGGCGGGATTAAATATTTTATCACGCAATTATATGGCTAAATGAAATGAGATCTAATGATCTAAAAATTACAGTCACGAGTGGAATATGAAATATATGGTATATTATATATTAGTCTCTTTGAATTCAAGTTTAGCACTATTTAAAGTATTATCATGAAGAGATTTCATAATAATGTAGGAATTATTATGATGAATCCTAAAATCTTAACGCAATCCGTTAAAAATCCACAAACTGATCCTTGTGATTTAAATGATGATTACGATCCACATTTTCATATTTTCAAGTAAACTTTTATATTTAACATTTAATATCCTTAACTTTTTTTAAATAATCAAAATTTTGAACCTTTCTTTTAGAGAAGAATTAACAGCAGTTCTTTCATTAACTTTTCTGATAAAAGAATGCAGGCAAATGAAATATACTTTTTTGAAAGATTCTCATAAAACTTTTTCTACAAGGTATACAAAAAGAATGTACTTTTATATCAAATCGACAAACTCCGTTAATAATAACCGAGCTTCTTGTCTTCATGTTTGAAAAATTTGAATTCCAAATTAATGCTTCACATCAATCACCATATCTGGCATTGACGTGAGTTTTAATTTTGCAAGAAACTATTTTAATTGCGGTTAATTTTATATTATACTATATATTTTTGATCGTGGGATTAAATCATTATCAAAAAACATTATAACTATATTCCAACAGTTGGATAAAAGGTAACAAAATGAGCCTGTTCTGGATAAAGTAAAATATAGAAATAAAATAAATTTTTCTTTGGAAAGTCGAAAAGGAAAAGAAAAATTACCAATTATTTCTTGTCGAAATAAATCGCTGATTTTTTTTTCAAAATTAATAATGCAAAGTGCTCACGTATAAATTCAAAATTTCCTTAGAAAAAATATTATAACTGTTACATACTAGAGCAGTTTTACAGAAGACATAATTGAATCTAATTAACAAATCATTCATCCGAAACATTCATGGTAAGTCGATCAGTATGAAATACCAATGGATTGTCATTGGATCGTCATCAGGAAGAGCATTCATAAATTAAGTTTGGATGATGATCCAATTTTGTGTCCTTTTATTCTTTATTCTTTTTACATTGATAAAACCATAATAAGAGTAAAGGGATTTTTAAAAAATAATTTATACTTTACGTGTGAGATGATGGTCAATCGTGGCATATGATCGACTCAATAATTGCCGATTAAATTTAATATCACAATACTAATTATTTATTTTTCATAAAAAACGCCCATTATTTATTTGAAAATATGGTTACTAAAAATTATTTACTTTCTCAATAAAGGAATTAAATCACAATCTGACGACATATATCTTCCAGTAACCTAAATGGTCATCCCGAAAGGATGCTCGAAATGATCATTGTATTATTCAAAATTCCCCTTCGAATATCATAATGTATTATCGGTATATCTCTATTCAATAAAGTCCAATATTTGTAAAATAACACCATTATAAAAAATTGTTTTTATAGTTTTCCAATATCTATTTAATGTTTCAAAGGCTTTTTCATCTTTCTCTTCTTCACCATTATTGATATCCAAACTAAGATCATTTAAATACTCGTATTCTTTACCCAAATCAGGTTCAAACGTTACTATAAAAAAAATCAATTTAATGTTTAAACAATTTTAAATAAAAGGCTCCATATATATACTGTATATACTTACAATAAAATTTTAGGTTTTTACCAAAATTTATGTGACATAGAATTGTGGTCACAATTAACAAACCTAGTAATAACGACGTTACGAAATCTGAAAACAAATACTGTTAGTATTTTATCAATATTAACGAAGCTTATTTTAAATAAATATAACTTACAGGTTATTCTTGTTATAAAAGAAAAGTAAAAAAAAGCCATGACCATAAAAAATGATTGTACCGCATAAGTCAGATAAATAAAAAACATATAAAACCTTAATTCCTTTTTTATCTAAAGTTTAAAATTATATGAATTGTAAAAATATATAAATTGTAAAAAAAGAATCAAGCTTAAAATATAAATATATCAATATACTTACAATTTTTGAACTGAATAATAAAATAAAAGATGGAAAAAATGGTAAAGATATAAAAATTCCTAATAAACTCTTATCATCATTATGTGTTAGTTTTAGAAATCCTAGAAAAAAGGAGTAATGTTGAAGCATAATAAGAATACTATATGTAATAATATAACATAATGTTGAATACAATAAGACAACATAAATGTTGTATATAATGTAAGACTCTAAAATTAAATAGTATTTTATATTAGTATTTTCAATATAAAATTATCTTTAATAACTATTATTATTTAATACATTACTTTTTAGATTTCTAGGTATTGAAATCTTATATGAGTTAACATCCCAATATCTATAATAAAAATTTATTTTTTTTAGAAATTATAATAATTTTTAAAGAGATAGAAATTTGATCACTTACTTCTTTTTCCATATTATAAATAATAAAACTATATAAAAAATTTCAAATAAAGTTAATATACAAATAACATTCACTACTTCATATTTGGAAAAGCCGGATTGTAAATCCCAGCAATAATGGTCAATAAAAACTAAATTTGGTACCATATGTACTATACAAAAAGCTAATAAATATAGCAATTTTTTTTCTAAAAACTATTTAATTCAGCATATAAATTAGATAGAGGTTGGAACCGATTAACGTTAATCGATTAATTAATCGGTTAAGGCGGTTAATCGGTTATAAGTATCAAAAAATCGGTTAATCGACTAATTAACCGACTAAATTAACCGATTAATTAACCGACTAATTTAGTCGGTTAAAATAATATGCAGATCATTTTCTCAGATTAGATGATTTTTTATCCCGAAATTCCGATAAGAAGTTTTTTTTAATATACAGTATTGACAAACTTGTCAAAAAAATAAACCCATTTAAACTTTTTATTAAAACTTGAGAAATTTTAATTTATTATAAAAAAAATTATACAATATGGGTGATAATGAAACAAATGACATTTTTTCAGAATATATTGATTATAGACCTATTGGAAATGAATCTCTATCTGGTCATTTATTATATATTTTTTTGTAACATATTTAAATGCTTTTATAAGTATTTGTTTTTATTTTAAGTTATTTATGACGTAGCTAAATGTCATGTGATATATATTACGCAAAATATTCAAATGAGCGGCGGAATAAAAACATTCCTAAAAACTTGCAATTCAATTCCACTATCATTAATATTGTTAATTTCCCATTTAAGTAAACCTTGAATTAAAGTCAGTTCTCGTTTCCCATTAAAATTTGATATAACTTTTTGAAATAATACATGTATATTATCCATATAGGGTGCAAAATTTATATATTAACCGATTAATTAATCGGTTAACCTCATCACAAATTAACCGATTAATTAACCGATTAATTAACCGATTATTATTCGGTTATGGTAACTGATTAGTCGATTATTAATCGGTTAAGGTTTTTTTGGTCGGTTCCAACCTCTAAAATTAGAATTAATTCACAATAATTTTTAAATTACTTTAACATAAAACTTACAGTATAAATTCCAGAGAAAAAAGGTACAGATAATAATACAATCAATTCAATCAATTCAATCAAATCATTCAAATAACCTTTTCTTGTCGATTGAAATATACCACCTGTAATGCCAAGAATAATTTCAATAAGAAACGTACTTACAAGTATAATATTAAAATACGAACGGGTTTGCATTTTTTTTTAATTGTAGTGAAAGAGAATGTTTTTTTTTTTCAGAGAATATAAATATAGTCACCAGTAACGTAAAACTTTGGGTCTTAGACAGTATATAAGGCTATTGCAATATATCACGTGAAATAGCTTCACTAAAATATTTGGAGGCTGCACTTGCCGATCATTTACTTTGTAATTTTCTTTTGGGTGTAACCAGCTGTAATCTATTACTAAATATATTTTATTCTAAATAATTATTATATATCTAAAAAAAAGTACTTGCGGTACAAATGTACTTCATATACACCTTAATAAATAGCCTTAGTTATAATGAAACGAACACTCAATTACTTATTGATTTTAAATAATGAAGTTTTTGATAGATTCATTTTGTAATTATCGATCTACTGAACCAGTTTGGTTCAGATTTTTTCGATGTTTTTCTGCCATTATTCTTTCAATCATGATCATAATTTATTTAATTTCTCGATATAAACAAATTGACTTCAATTATGTTACCATTATTAAGTCTATAGAATTTTATGGTAAAAGAACATATTTTTCTGTATCAGAATTTTTGAAATTTAATAAATTAATGTTATGTCATTTTAAATAGGGTATGAACTTAATATGACAATATGTTCTGAAAATTTGGAATTTCGTACGAATTTTATGAATAAAGATACGCCCAAACCATCTCAATTAGGGAGATGTCAAGACATTGCTATCGATTCATCTCATTCATCTCAGTTGAATATCAGTGACATTACTCCTTTTAACACTACATTTAATAATAAACCTACACCTCAATATGAAGCTATACTTAAGGAGTTCTATTTCCCTTTTAATAACAATCAATATAACAAATTTCTAAGTGATAATAATTTATTACATTTAAGCTTCACATCATTTCAGTTTCGTAATTCTGATAAATTTGATGATGTTTTTTATCATAATAAAGTATTATTAGAGAAAAAATATTCAATTTCTTCAATTTCTTATAATTTAGATCCATCATATTTTTTTCTTTATCCAGGACAGGCTTATTTTATTACCTTTTATCCAACCGTAATTGTTGATGATTATTTTAATAGTAAATTAGAATTAAACCCACAATTAAAACAATTACCCGTAGGATTAAAGCCAAATGAAATCAATTTTGGAATTCGTCCACATTCAAGATTTTTCAAATATGAAGAAAAGAAATTAGCATATATTTGTAACTATTTACAAATTGCGTTTTTAATACGTTTATAATATTAATGTAAGCTAAAAAAAAATTTATTCGATTTAGATACGGATTTATTGGCTGACCTTGGAGGTTTTTACAATGCCGTATTAGGTAAAAAGTTTTTTAACTGATCCAAATTAATCGTGATATTAACATCGTAACTTTTTTAACGAATTTCATAGGAATATTTATTTTATTTTTCGGAATGCAAAAACTTGAACCATGGTAAGTAAAAAAATTATAATAAAAAAAAAAATTTTTTTTTTCCACATTTTAATGATTTATTTTCTTCCATTAAAGGGGTTTTGCGCAAAAGTATCTTCTTTCTTGTATACCTTGTAGAAAAAGTTTTATGAAAAATCTTGCAAAAAAGTATGTTTCATCTGCTGGTATTCCTTTAACAGAAAAAGTTAATGAAAGACCTGATAATTCTTCTTTAGAAGAAAGGGTTCAAATTTTAGAAACTTTATTACAAGATTATTATTTAGATGTTTATTATTTAGAAAAAATCAGAAAGGTTAAGATCAAGCATAAAAGATTACTTGAAAAATACAATAATATGGAACGAGCCGAACAGAAAAATGATGAAAATTCAGAACATGAAGATTAATGATCATTTCTAGTGGTTAGATTTTGTAAACATTTTTTTAGTAATTTTAAAATAAAATCTTAGGTATATTTTCTATCTATAATTCACTAGTGAATTTAATGGCAAAAAAAATGCACGCTTGATTAGGTTAATCGATCAAAATTTAATATTTACTCGATTACTACTGATTACTACTTGATCAATATGCATTAAATAGTTGTCATACCAATAATAAATTGCATATTATAAAATTTTGTTTATTGATCTCAAGATTTGGTACAACAGATTTTACTGTGACCATCACTAAGTACAATTTCAAACCGCCTGCCAAGATTATGGGCCAAAATCGGCATAATGCTGATAAAGGACGCTTATTTCGGACGGTATATTTCTGGGGTTACACAAGAATTTCATATCTTTTATAGATCAATATTGTAATGAACCGACTCAATTGAATTAAAGTTGAAAACTTGAATCCGATGATCTAAGCTCCTCATTAACCTATCTAATTAAAAGTCCATTAAATAATTAAAAGTCAACTCTCGAAATGCTCAACACGTGACATTTAACCAATCAAAGCCAATTAAATTCTTTGCTATAATCTTATAGCGAATTTGAGATGAAAATCGGAGGGTTCGTTAAATCTAGAGCTGACTGTATATTCTTTTATTACTTATACAATTTATACTGTATATAAAATAAAAGTTTAAGATTCACGTTAAAAGTTTAACATTTAAAATGAAATTCCTTTACCGATTCTTTTTTTTTTTTTCATACAAATTCAAAAACACTCTTCAGTGTAACAATGGTAAATGAGATTGGGCGTAAAAATTAATTTTTTTGTGTAAGTGGATCAACAAAACATCTGTTAAATCCGTAATCCATTTAATTATATAAATACCTTATTAAAAAAAAATTTTCTCATAATTTTTTTTTTTTTTTAATTATGGAAAATAATAATAATACTTTCATTGAAGATGATGATGATGACGAAGATTCAATTAGTACAGATGGAGGATCAGATAAAGAATTAGGAATGTTATGGGAAACACCAGAAACTATTAATATATGTCAAGAATGTAAACAAGAATATACTAATTTTAGTTGGTGTCATCCTTGTAATTCAAAAAGATTTAAAAAAAATTTTAAGAATTGGACAAGTAATAATAAAAATATTGATAAATTAATTCAAGATAATCAAATTAATGCAAAAACTTCTAATATATTAGAATGGATACCTTATGAAAAATTTCAAGATATAACTTATTTAGATAAAGGAGGTTTTGGAATAGTTTATAAAGCAACATGGATTGATGGTCATATAAATTTATATGATTATATTTTTAAAGATTGGGATCGGTTTGGTAAAGAAACTGTTGTATTAAAAAGTTTAAATAATTCTAAAGATATTTCTTCAAGTTTCTTACGTGAGGTAAGGTATAATTTAATTTAATTACATCATCTACCGAATCAAAAAAAAAAACCAAAATTTTATTAAAAAATCCTAAATACATATTTTTTTTTTAGATTCAAAATAATGTCAAAATGTTGGAACTTGGTAAATGTGTGATTAATATATTGGGAATAACACAAAACTCTAATACTCAAGATTATATGATAGTTTTTGGATGGGTAAAAGATGGAAGTCTTAGAAAATTTATGAATAAAAATCCTAAAACGTTTACATTAAAGAGAAAAATAAAAATATTTTCTGCAATTGCTAATGGGCTCGCAAGTTTACACGAAAATAATTTATTACATAAGGATTTTCATACTGGGAACATCTTGATTGCTCAAGGTCAAGCGATGATATCTGATTTAGGTTTATGTCAACCACCAAATGAAGAGTACAAAGAAGGTGAAAAAAATAATGTATATGGTGTATTACCTTACGTTGCACCTGAAGTTTTAAAAGAAAAAGAATATTCTAAAGCATCCGATATTTATGGTTTTGGAATTATTATGATTGAAGTATTATCTGAAGTACCTCCTTACAATAATCAAGCTCATAATTCTGAACTTGTATTTGAAATTTGTAAAGGTGAAAGACCTCAAATTCCAAGAGAAACTCCTCAAGTTCTTAAAGGAATCATTTTAAAATGTATAAATTCTAATCCTGAAAATCGTCCGATTGCAAAAGAATTAAAAGAAATTTTTCATCATTGGAAGGAACTTTTAAGCAAAAATACAAAAATAATTCCAAATGATGAAGAAAAATTAATTATTAAAAATATTAGATATGCACAGAAATTATTTAAAAACTCAAATCCTCAATCTGAAAAACAAAATTCACATCCTCAAGCTTATTATACAAGTCGTCTTCTTAATTTTAACAATTTACCTGAACCTGAAAATGTAACTCAAGATTTTTCAGAACAATTAGAATATACAATTCCCGATGATGTTGAATACGAAGAAGGTATTGTAATTTTTTAAAATTTTACGGGGTAAAGATTTTTATTTATAAGAAAATTTAATTTTAAAGATGATGATGATACCGATGAGGAAAATTAATCAATGTCGATTACGCATAAAGATCGAATCTAGTAATAATGAATGTAGTATGAATATAAGATATAATTCAATTTATCACAACTTATGAAATTCATTGGAACATTCTTATTGAATTTCAGGTAACCAATAACAATTTAATTGTGCTGTAAATTTCACGAAAGATATGCTAAAAGGAAGAAAAAGAATTATTGAATGAAAAAAAATTAACGACTATTATAATTTATAATTCAATTGAATTTACAATGCTGTAATGTTGCAATGCCGCAATATTGTAATGTTGTAATGTCCATTATAAAATGTTAATCGGGGTGATGTAAATCAAATTGCGCAGTATTGGAACAGTACCCCGAGGTCCTGGTTACTTAGAATGAGCCAGAATTATGTAGATCGCTTCCATTTGTGGATAATGCCGACCAGCATTACATAGTGCCGTCCCCGAAGAAATGCGTAGAGCTAATACAGTAAATGTGTGCCGATCTCCCCTGACCTATATATATAACTCGGGTCCTATTAGAACCTTCCAGAAAGTGTATGATGACGTACTTATTGTGCAAATAAACATATAACGTGATGAATATGAACGAACAACTTCTTTCTCAAATATTTTGACACTTATTAGTTTCTCCAACCATTTTTACAATGTTATGAAGTCTTTTTTTACATTAACTAGTAAGTTATTTTGCAATTTGAACTTTAAGTAGTTTGTCTGTCTTGAGGTCTGATTTTTTTAGGAATTATTAATGCAAGAAATGGCCTCGTAACTTTGTTAATAAAATCGTATCCTTAATCTTTATATGCTTTTTTTTTTCTCAAAATGCAGAATCGTTAAAGCTGCACATCTAATTGAACATGAAATATAAATATATATATATGGGTAGTCAAAAATTCAAAATCATGTCGTATTAATGCTTTGCTAAATTAAAATCATTTGCATTATTGTAATATTAAAATTTTTGAATTTCCGCACACCCCAAGTCCCCAACGTGACACCTTGGCTATTGGTCGGGATCTTTTGCTAAGAATACCGGAACCGATCTTTCAAAATACTCCGGTCAAATCAATGATATAATTAGTGCAACATTGTGATCCAGTTTGTGCAATGAAAAATGTTCTATAAAATGAACACAGTAATTTCTATTTGGTTATTTCATTAGTTCAAGAAGTCGAAAAAATACTTTTGTTGGTTGATATCTAATAAAATGAGTAATTATGACCATATTTTCGATCTTTTGAAATTAAAAAAAAAGAAAGGCTTAAAGTGTGAATTTACAGAAAAATGTATTTTGGAGTTGCCACGCATCTGTAATAATTGCCTTCATGAAATTTTGAAAGACAAGTTTTCGAGTTGGGGAAGTGGTAATGAATTAATTGATAGATTCATACGAAAAACACAACTTTCATCTTCATACGAACGGTATCCTGAATGGGTTCCATATAGCTCTTTGTCCCAAGTGAAACAGATTGGCGAAGGTGGATTTGGTACGGTATTTTCTGCAATATGGAATTGGGGAATTAAACCGACAAACTTAAGTAAGCATTATCGAACTGGCCCATGTAAAGTTGCTCTAAAGAAACTGAAAGGTGAAATGAAGATTACGGAAGCTTTTCTTTCAGAGGTACAAATTTTATAAATTAAAATATATACTTATTTGCATGGATGGGAAATAGTACAAGAATTGTCGATAATAGAATTTGCGACCCTTCCTATGGTTATCCTTCAAGAATAACGTTAATTTCTCTTGTTGCATATTTAGGTTCAAGCTCAGTTCGATTTTTGTCATTTGTACGGAATTACACAAGATCCCTCGTCATTAGATTATATGTTTGTCATGCGTTTTGCACCACAAGGTGATCTTCGAAGATATTTATTACAAAATTTTGATAAGATTTCATTGGCGAGCAAGTTGGGTATAGCCCAAACCATATGTGCTGAACTTGAAAAAATCCATGCAAAAGGATGGGTCCATGGTGACCTCCATTGCGGAAACATTCTTTTATTAAACGAAGAAAATGCGTTTATTTCCGACTTTGGATTGTGTCGACCAGTTGATGAAGTGGAATCGAAAGAAGCATTGTATGGAGTCATCCCAAATATTGCACCAGAAATAATTCGTGGCCATCCGCGTTCCCAAGCAGGTGATATTTACGGTCTTGGTATTATTTTATGGGAATTAGTTTGTGGAGTTGTTGCGTTTGCGGATCGTTCCCATGATGTGCGTTTAATAGTGGATATCTTTGATGGCCTTCGCCCGCAAACATGTCATTTCGCCCCTCCAGTGTACAATGACTTGTTGGAAAGATGTTGGATTCGAGACCCTTCGAAACGCCCTTCCATAAAGGAAATATTAGAATCTATTGAATTATGGTGTTTCCATAGAAAGCAAAATGATGTAATGAATAATAACAGTATTGAGGGACATAAATTATTTAGAAGTCATTATATGTCCAAAGGTGGCATCTGTGTTAAAAATAAGTTTTGTATTGATACGATTCATGATGAGAACGATCGTTTTGGAAATGAATTTGACGATACTATTAGGGATCAATTTGTCAATTCACAAAACGCCGGCTACATTTATATATTAATGAAATGGAGACCGAATAAACCTATTCACCTAGAAGCGGTTTACACTAGCCGTTCATTTAGTTATAAAAGTTTACAGGAAGAGATTAATATTTTTCTAAGCCAAAGAAAAAGTAACCGTAAAAGTAACCAATCATCTATTGTAATGGGTAATATTTGTACGGGCTGAATCTTAATATTGTGACATTAATGTCATCGATGTCATCACATTGCGAAAAATAATTATAATGGTCAAAAAAATAAAGTCAGTGAAAAGTCGTGCAATATAATCTGTAATGACGTATATTTTTTAATAAAGATGTTTGACGTAACTTAGCCAGTTTCCTAAATGTCTTTTTTTATTATTTATCTGTAAAAAAAATTCTTATGTATATAACTGATAATAAAGTATAGATCACTTCGAAAATTCGAATAAAAAATGTGTACGCACCGCAAATTTACCACTAGCTATAATTCTAAATTTCTAATCGTAATTGAGTTACGATCTATTTTAAAAAAAACACGTAAGGAAATAAAATCTAAGAATTACTAGATAAAACTAAAGACCCATGATAAAAAAATTCGGGCAACATCTATTTTCGAGATATAAAAGTGCAAAAACTCATTTTATGCTAAATTATACAATATATCCATTTGTTAATTCTGAAACTCATAAAAAAAAAATGATAAACTTCTTAAATCAGCTTATACAGGCGAGAAAGTTTAGAATAAATTATTATCTAAGACAAATAAAATTAAATAATTTTTTAGACTAAAATTTCACCTATAAAATTCTTGTAATTTATATTCAAGATTTAACTGTCTAACATACTTTTTTTTTCAAACAACGTGCTAAATTATTGTAGTGCCTTTTGCAATGTCTAATGTAATAATGTAGCAATGCCGTAATGTCGTAACGTAATGTCGTAAAGTAATGTCGTAATGTCGTAATGTCGCAATGTCGCAATGTCGCAATGCCGTAATGCCGTAATGCCGTAATGTCGTAACGTAATGCCGTAATGTCGCAACGCCGTAATACCGTAATGCCGTAATGTCGTAATGTCGTAACGTAATGCCGTAATGTCGCAATGCCGTAATACCGTAATGCCGTAATGCGCAATGTCGCAATGTTGCAATGCCGTAATGCCGTAATGCCGTAATGTCACAATGTCGCAATGTCGTAATGTCGTAATACCGTAATGTCGTAATGCCGTAATGTCGCAATGCCGTAATGCCGTAACGTAATGCCGTAATGTCGCAATGTCGCAATGTCGTAATGCCGTAATGTCGTAATGTCGTAACGTAATGCCGTAATGCCGTAATGTAGTAATGTCGCAATGTCGTAATGCCGTAACGTAATGTCGCAATGCTGTAATGTCGTAATGTCGTAACATTGTAATGCCGTAATGTTGTAATGTCGCGACTGTTGTCATCGTGAAACGATTTGAATTTCCAAAATCGCACTTCTTTAAACTCCAAATCATACCCAGTAAAAAGTTCTTGTACCAAATATAGGCCAATTATGAAATGAGCCCATTCGGTATAAAATTTGGCCATATTTATTTTAATTTTATCCCATTTATGGTCCAATTTTTCGTACCAAACGGGCTCATGTATAAATTCAATACAAACCTAATATGAATTCAGTACAGGACTTTTTACTGGGATACCATCCGTCAATCTCTAATAAAAAAAAAATTGATTACAAAATTATAAAGTTCGCTCATTTAGTATTTAAGAAAAAAACTTGAAATTTTTCATTCTTAATTTTTTATAATTTTATAATTGTATAAATGTATTAGTCATTGTAATATATAATTTTTATTAAAATCATTTCAATTGAATGATATGAAAAATATAATCATCTACATTGCATGACACTAATGACAGAATCATGGCGAGCACAACCTACACCCAAACCACAAGTGAATTACTGCTTTACAATCTATAGAAAGTATGGAACTATCATTTTCAATAGGGTTATATTCAAATTGTTTCTCCAGTAGAAAGTAATTTCAAGATACTAATGGCTTCTATTACTGCGCAACAATCTAAAAAATGTGATGTGGCTTTCATGATGTGGAATAAAATGATGAGAAAATTTTATTATTAAAATACCAGTCACTTTCACAATGAAATGTGGTGTGGAATGGAAGAGAAAAATTTATTATTATAATCCCCTGTCGCACTAAGTGTCACTCATGATCACCTTCATACTAATTTTTAAAAATTGCGAGTGATTAGCTGAGTTTATAAATGACCGGGAATCTTCGTTTAGTTATTTCCCGGTCTCATATATAGATAGCCGGGAAATTACTAATTTTAGTTTAAAATAGTTAAAATAGTTAATATTTAATGAGTGACACGCTCCAGGGGATTACCCATTTATTTCCTGGGAAGGAAAACAATAGGGTTTTTTTCCCTTCGGGAAAAAAACCTATTATTTCCAACTCCCCATGAAATAAATAATACAAATATATATACAACTTACCAGTCGCTTTCACAATGAAATGTGATGAGAAAATTTTATTATTAAAATAAATGTAGAAATGAATATTTTTAATAAAAATGTCGGGAACATCCTAATTCCTGAAAAATAAAAATTGTCCCGTGAATAAACCAATTGAAAAATAACTCATAGAATTACGGAATTACAGAATTGTGGCTTATAACATTATTATATTATTGTCAGTTTATAGAATTATCGGAACTAAGAAAATTTTGCGGCTTATTGTTATGGCATTACACAATTATAGAGACATTACGGCAATTTTTTTTGACGGCGTAATTAATTTAGATCGAGGAAATGGCGTAATTATACTGTTGTAATGCCCAAATTTTGCAACTAATCAGGAGTAAAGTTTTACGCCCTACTATGTATATATATAGATCAAAATAAACATTGTGATCACGATCATTCATTTAAAATTGTATTCATTGTTGTTATATTAATTTTTTTTTATAATGTTGGGCTAAAATATTAAGAAATTAAGACGATCATACATTGAATACATTTCAGATCTGCGTCACCATTTATTCATCTTAAAACGCCATGAACCATATTTGATATAATAAAAATGCATCAATTGCAGCATATAATATTTTTTTCAAATGCCTTTTGCATTAAAGATTATTATTAAAAATTCATTCTACAGCCCGTCAAAAGAGTACACATATTTTTTTACCCACAAGATATTCAATATACATTATGCATATTTACGTAGTTATTTAATAATATGTATATAAAAAAAAAATATATATTTATATATATTATTTTTTTTGTTTGTTCAAAATATCAAAATATTTTAAGCCATATTTAAGCCAGTTTACTTAAAATAAATCATGCAATATACCCAACTACCAAGCCATTGTTCAAATAATGATCTTTAACACTTTAACAGAACAATAAAGTCAATTATAAAAAAAAAATTGAAACCAGGGTAAATTAGGATCGAAACCGGTTTTAAGATTTTAAAAAGATTTTTAAAGATTTCCATGCAAAAAGAATGCTGTTGAAAAAAAAAAAAGATGCTTTGTTTCAAAGAATGTAAATATTTGAGGATATCAAAAAGCATTAGAAAGCATTAAAGCATCAAAAAACAACAATATACTGAATAAAATATATTATTTATTTAATAATAATAATTTTGAAATTTGGAAGTGAGGAGCAACAATAAGCTTTTTTTTAAATGAAAGTTTTTGGGCGATCTAACTGACTACGCCACAAATAAATATGCAATTTCTAATGATTGATGGGAGAAAATATCCTATTTGGAGTTTATTATAAGCAATATAATATTTTTATGCGCATTATACATATTAACTTTTTTTCAATAATCACATTAAAATATTCATCAAAAGAAGAAGGAATGAAGGAATGAATGAATAAATAGAATGAAAGAATGAAAGAAGGAAATAAAATAAAAAAAAAGATGAATGAATGAATGAATGAACAATATGAAAATTTTTGATTGAGTCGAGTTACAGAGTTAAGAACTTGGGGAATATAGTATTATTGTATACTATTATACTATATATACTATATGTACTGTATGAGAGTTTTATGTTAATATATGTAATATTTACTGAAAAAAAAAGGAAAAAAAAAAAAAAAAAAAAAAAAAAAAAAATTTCTTTGTTATTGATTAATAAGACAATCCAAATTAATTCCAATCTTTGACTAAGTAAATAATTCTATTCTTTCGGTGATCATTACGTAACCTAAACCATTTATACTATAGATATATTATAAACACGTGTTTTTGTATGAAACATGAGACATTGTTCGTTTTTCTTTCTTTGAAAAAAAACTATTATTTGATTGTAAAGATCTGTCAATTTTATATTTAAAAAAGAAAAAACAACAAACAAATAATAAATAAACAAATAAAATTAACCTGAAAATTAAAATTTAAAATAATTTATCAATAAAATGTTTTCTAAATATCGTTAAAATTATATTATTTACAGTAATACATTTACGGTATAAAGCGAGTTATTTTATGATGAAACATTTAAACTGTCAATAGATTCAAAATTTATTATTATTCCTTTTGCAGACAGAAGATAAACAGTTTCATGACATAAGCAACGTCATAAAAATCAATCGAAAAAAAGTTTCAAATATTTCATCATACACAAGAAAAAAAAAATCAAAAAAAGTTTTGCCCATTGAATAAAAGGATTCCACATCAATATAGAAAAATTTGGTTAACATTAAATCACAAAATGTACACGTTACCAAAATTTTGAAACATGTGAACAAATTTATACGCACACATTTTAAAAAATCCTATTGTTTCTGTTACTTCAACTTTCCTAACTAAGAACTAGGAAAATAATATAACCTTTTCATTTATGCATTTTAACCCATAAAAAGTAAGGTGCATTCATTCAAAATTTGTAAATGATTACGTAGTTATCTGTGATAAAATCATTTGATGTCATAAATGTCATAATTAAAATGGATATAATTTTTTTTATAAAAAAAGTTAAATAAAGTAATACCCTGATACCCTAATACGCCAAAATGTCAACTTTAAATTTTACGTTATTGGATTCAACCCCACCTTAATAATCTTTTAGTGATTTGGCTGCGTCATTATCATGTACTGTATACTGCGTATGAACGGTACGAGCGATTAAGTTGGCGGGAATACAAAAAGTACTATTTTGTACTTCTGTAATATGTACTTTAGCGAAATTTCACGTGAAATAAAAAATAACCCACATAAAATCATGTTTACTATCTAAAAAAAAAATCTTTCATTTATTATTATATATTTTCATTATTGATTTATTATAGTAAAAAAAAAAAAAAAAAAAAAAA